TTATAGATAATTTACTTTTTTTACTGTTTAATATTACCCCATCTTCTTTACTGCCTTAGGTTTTTATTAATAATTTAAATATTAATAAGCTGATTAATAAAACTGAGTTTTTAGATATTAAACTAATTAAAGGCCTAAAACAGACCTGTTGAGAATTATCTAATTTTAATTTTAAAAAAGCTAGACTTACCCTGTAAGTTATTTAAATAATAGTTAATTATATTAATAAAAATAAAATTTTTTATATTAATTTTTTATTAGTTCTATCTCCGCCTACTGATTGGTAAGAAATAAAACATTATATATTTTTAAGCTAATTTACTTAGACTGCTAAAACTAAAATTAATTAATTAAAAGCCCTAAATATATAAAATATATATTTAATTTATAAAATTAATAGAGCTGAAGTATTACTATTAAAATAAGTATTTTTATATAAATTTAATAAAACTAATTATTTAACTAGTTTTAAAGTCTAAATTTATATTAGGGGCGATTTGCAGATATTTAATTAGTTAAAAATATATACTAGTATTTTTATAGCTAGATTTATACAGATTCTTTTAGCCCTAATTACTGTATTTAATTTAAAAACTAATTAATTAGATATAATTACTGTCTTTTTTAATAGTTTTATTAAAAAGAAAATCTATATAGGTCTAATTTCTGGATTAGAAAATAAATAAATAGTTTTTTTATTAAGAAAAGTTCTATATAGATTAAGATGTTTATTATTTTTTTAGTAAAATACTCTGAAATAAAGGCTAATAGCCCTAGGACTTAAGCCTATTTAAAAAAATTAATATATTTTTATTAATAAATTTATTATTTTAATAATTTTTATAGATAATATAATTTGTATGTTCCATAAATTAAATTATTAAAAATTTAATAAATTTAAGAAAAAATTAATAATATTATTTAAATTTAAGAACCTTAAAAAGGCTAATTTATTTCTTAATATTTAAATCTTATATAATTACCCAAATAGGAAGTTGTAGATTTAATAATTAAACTATATTAATAAGATTATTAATAAGTTTAATTTAGGGTAAAAAAAAGCTTTAAATCTTTATTTTTAAATAAAAAATTAGTAAACAATCTACTCTACCAGGCTACAGCTAATTAAATTTATAAATTTTAGCAGAAAGTAGAGTTAGCTTTATATTCTATAGTCTAAACTAGGCCTAATATTACTAAATTATACTAGTCAATTTTAGAATATTTAACTAATCTAAGCTTTAAATATTTTAAAGCTGTAGATTATTTAATCTTTTATTTAAAAAAAATAAAAAATTTGGCTATTAAATTTAGCTTTAGCCCTATTTTATTTTATATAGCTAGTAATACTAGTTTTACTTATAATTAAAATTATACTATTTTAATAGGATATATTATTTACTTATTTAATAGTTTTATTAAATAGCTAAGTAAAAAATAGTATTATATAATTTTTTTAACTACTAAAGCTAAATTGTTAGCCCTAACTACTGCAGCTAAATAATTTTTTTAGTAGAAAAGATTTTTTAGTTAAATAGGGTTTAGCCCTAATTAATACTTTTTTATATTATATAATAATTATTAAACAGTTAAAACTTTTACTAATAAGAATTTCTTCTTTTGGACTAGTTTAAAATATATTAATATTACTAATTATTAGCTTAGGTAAAAAGCCCTAAATAAAACTATTAATATTTATTAAGTATCTACTAATAAAATATAAGCAGATAGCCTAATTAAGTAGTTTTCTAGTTAAAAATATACTAAATTTATTAAACAGCTGAATATAGTAATTTATTAAATTCTATTATTTTTTAATTATTTAGTTACTTTTTATTTTAGTAATTTATTTACTTTAGTTTTTTCTGATATTTTATCTTATTAAAACTGCGGGGATGTATTAAGAATATAGGCAGATTGGCCAGTTGGCAGCCTTAGGCTTGCCAGTTTACTACTACTACCAGGTGCTATTTTAGGGCCTGTTTGCCTGCTATTTCTGCTTACCCGCCATTTTAAGCCCTGCCTGCTACTAAAGATATGCCTCAGGCTTGCCAGTTTACAGTCTTAGGCCAGTTGGCAGTCTTAGGCTACTAGTGGGCTGCCTTAGGCCACCAGTTGGTAGACTGATATTCTAAGTTCTGCCCACCCCGCAGCAGAGCAAAAGGCCTTACTTTTATTAATTATTCTAGGCCCTATTCAACTACTGGTTTTATTGTTCTCGGCCCTGTTTTATTTATATAATTTTTATATAAATTTTATATATATTTATATATTTGTTATATGTTTTTAATAGCTAATTAGCTATAAATAAGGATAAAAAGACCCCTGGAGTTCTATTTAGAAGAATAATTAGTTTAATTAGTTTTAGTTTTAGTTTAATCAGCTTTAATTAGTTTTAATTAGTTTTTTTAATTAATTCTAGCAGTAAGCCTATTTTTTTATTTATCTAATTTTAATTTTTTAATTTTCTTTTACTTTTACCTCACTTTTGTACCCAATTTGTATGCGAAAGTGAGAGTTTAATAAAGTCTTTCTAAGAAACCTTAGAAAAGTTTTTAATTATTTATTTTAAAAATTACTATTTTATTAGAATATAAGAGAGTAGTAAGACTAAATTTTATAAGATATATAGTTCTAAGTAAGTTAATCTTAATATTAGAAATATATAATATATTTATTAATCTAACTGTATAAAATTTCCTAGGGCTGTATATCAGCTTTAACTTTATATTATCTATACTAATTAAGTATATAATCTTACTAGTAGCAGTTTTAATTTTTTATTTATATAGCTTTATAGTTTTAGATATAAAACTACTCTTATTTTTAATAAGATATTTAGTAGAATTTAAGTTAATAATCTAATTATTTATATATTTAAAATATGCTATAGTAATATTATAATTAATAATATTAATAGCCTTTTATTTTTTATATCTACTGGTAGCCTTTTATTTTTTATAGCTGCTAGTAACTAAAAATACTAATAAAGTAGAAAACTACTTATTTTTAGTAATATTAGTCTTAGTATTTTTTACTGTTTTAAATAGTTTTAACTCTAAGTGTAGTTTTCAGCAGCTAGGCTTTTTATATTTAACTTTATTATAATAATTATAAATCCAGTTTTTATAAATATTCTAAAGAATTTTTTTTTAAAATTGTTTTTTTTTAGACTAATTATTTTTATTTTATTAGTTTTTAGATTTAGAGTTGTTTAACTTCCAGCCTTTAGGCACCTTTATAAAATTAGTATTACTAAAGTTAAACTAAATATATATTTTTTTTTATAAAAATCTAAATAATTTAATTCTATATTATACTTTTTTTAATATATTAAAAATTAAAATAGAAAGTTAAAAAGGTGGACTACTGTTTTTTAAAATTATAAAAAAAAACTAAATATATATACTATTGCTAAGTTTCTTATTATTAGTAAAACTATATTAAAACTTATTTAATATTTTAAATATTTTTATAATATATTTATTAATATTTTTACAGTTGTTATACTGTAGGAATATAGTAGTTTATAGTTTTTTAAATAACTATATATTAAAAATAATATTAAAATATTTTTTTAGCTTATTCTAGATTTTTTTTATACTATTAAAATTAATAATACTATATTAAATTTTTATAGTTAGTATAGTATAAATAGCTTTAATAGTTTTTTTATTTTTAATTTTTTATATAAATAACTACCTTTTAAAGTATTTTAATATTTTTTTATATATAGTAAGGTTAATATTTATTTTACCAAAGCTAAAGCCAGTAAATTTAGGTATATTTTATATAATTTAAAAACTTCCAGCTGCTTCAGCTTTACCAGAGAACTAAATAAATAAAAAAAATTAAATAAATTTTTTATTAGTACTTAAAATTATTTTTTAAAAATTTTATAAGTAAAGATATATTTTTAAGATTTTATATTAGATTTAATAGTTATGTATACCTGTTAAGGCCGGAAGCTTAGTAATATTAACTATCTACTATATTTTTATTAATTAATAAATATATTTTTTTAATTATTAAATTTATAAATTATTTAAAATATTTAACTTAGTCTAGTACTTTTTAATAGACTATATAGTTAATAGAAAAGTCTTCTTAGTACTTAACACCAAAAAATAAAAAAAAATAATAAAAAATAATTAAATAAAAGCTTTAAGCTTAAGCTGGGCTTATAATCTATTAATTATAAATATAATACTAATAGATTTGCTTATTTAAAAAAAAAGTTTAATACCTTATAAATTATTTAATTATTAAAAAAAAAGAAATCTCTATAAATTTGTAGTATTTATATATATCCAGTTTAATTTAAAATTATATGACTTATTAAAGTGAGGTGTTACATGCACACGCCGATACACTTCAGTGTTCACTGCCTATTAAAACTCCCTGGAAACTACTCAGTAAGTCACTCTGTACTTCTGTATAGAGTAAATTACTAAGTCTTCTTTAGGTTTTTAATATATCCGCCATCTTCCCCCCCTAAGGCTGTTGAATTACGTGATTAATTCGGACCCTTCTTATAGTAGGAAATTCAGGGTTTTTAGAGGCCGAAGGTATTATTATTAGGATTCTTTATCAAGGAATATCTTTTATTATTCTTTTCTATAAGGATTATTAGAGATTATATGTAGATTTAATTCTCCTGCGTACGATTTTCCCGGCAGATTTTTTGTTTTGCCGAGTGGTCGTAATGGTCTTCTGTATGGCACTTGGAATGCCACTCGTGGCTAGCGTAGTATCGCAAAATCTCCGGGTTGAAATGTCCATAGTAACGAGGATTTTTGCCCCGCACAAGCGTGCCAATCCGGGCGTCATCACCTAGACCTACTTCGTAGACTAGATTCAATAGACATATATTTTGTCTGTACTATAAATAACTCATCCGGCTACTCCGATCGACTAACCCAAAGGGGTCAAGTTGCAACATGTGACTCAGATGATTATCGATAACATCGCCTGCATCGGCTCACACTCCCCCCTTCTCACCTGTCAGCTCTATTCAATGAACAGAGTTAAAACCCGCTGCATCTTGCTAAATCGATGCCCCGAGTTGCTCCGGGACAGCGAAAGCGGTCGTATCGTCCCAAGACGCGCACCGGCTGCTTGACCTGCAAGTATGTGCTCCCCACAATTCGATGGGGTCCCTGCTGACCGAGTTTAGAAGTAAGTGGGATTGGTAATCCCAAATGAAACAATTGTCTGTCGATGACTTACTGAGAACGCTAGAGCGACACGTCAAGTGTACTGAAGAGCTCCCGAACTGTCTGCGCTGTACCTCAACCGGCCGTGTATGCGACGGCTACGAGATTCCACCCCCATCGCCCCCGTCTAGCCTCACGACATTGCAATCAAACCCATTCACAAGGCCGCTCGTTCCCCGGTCACTCAGTGATGATCTACTTATCTCGAACCAGGAGCGCCGTTCGTTCCAGTTTTTCATAGCCAAGACTGCCCTGCAGCTGGCTGGCGACTTCGAATGTATCTTCTGGGAACGCCTGCTGCTGCAGTCTGCGCACCATGAGCCGGCGATTCGCCATGTTACTGTTGCATTGGGCTCGCTACATGAGCGCTTGGAGCGTGATGCGGGCACTCTCTACCAACCCGGCTCTCAGACCATGCACGACCCCTTTGCTTTGCGACAGTATATATGCGCCATGCGTTGTCTGATGCCGGCGCCGGGCGGCTCACAGCCCCTTGATGTCTGCTTAATGTCCTGCATCCTTTTTGCTTGCTTCGAGGTAAGGGTTTCCGTCTACTCTCCCGTGAGAAGATGTGCATACTAGCTAAGCTCAAGGCAATGCGCGGCCAATACGGTTCGGCCATCACCCACATCACCAGTGGACTAAAAATTCTCGATGAGCTTCGAGCCAATCCATTCAACACATCCACGGCTCTGAGTAAAGGTCGCATGCCGTATGTCCCCATCGACGTTGTGTGTGGGCTCTTCACTCGCTTGCAAGCGCAAATCATTGTGGTACGGTGCCCACTCCCGGCAGAGTATAGGCGTCCGGTTACTAATCGTAGAACGCTACAGACCGTACACCGCATGAGCGCAGAGCGCTGCAACCTTTGGCCTGAGCTGGTCATTGACCTGGACAGACCCATCGTGTTTCACTCGTTAGCCGACGCGCGTGAGACCCTCGAGATCTACACGTACTACTACCGGCAGCGCAATACGGAGCTGCAACACGAACGTACAAAGGCGGAGCAATATTCTCCTTTCCCAAAGTCCATAGAGCTGGTGAATGGGTTGAACCGCGCGGCTGTGGCTCTGCGTGACGTCTCGATCTCCCTGCTGGATCGCTGGTCTACCGCACTGGACGACTTTCTGCGTGAGCGCAACACTTTTCTAACGGACCGCGAGCGGCGTGGTCTCGCAGTGCTCCAGCTACGGAAGTTCGACTGCTTGGTTTCGCTAGATATATTCAAACCTGCGGGTCAGGCCGAGGCAGGGGATAATGTCGATTGGGATAAATACTGTGCCTTTTTCGAAGAGATGGTCACTCTAGGCGAGTCCCTTGTGGGACTTTCCTCGAATCCTTCTTTTTCTCCCTCAGATTCGGCTGCTTCGTCTCCATTACCGACTCCTAAAACCTTCTCTCTCGACCTCGGCATCATAGCAGGTATGTTCAACGTCGCCGTGCGATGCCGTGATCCTCACATCCGCCGGCGAGCCGTACGGGTGCTTCGTGCCTCTGCGGTTCAGGAAGGGGTGTGGAACAGTGCCGTCGTGGCGGCGATCGCCGACAAGTGGATTGAGATCGAAGAGGAGGGTCTAGATAATGTTGCGAGCTGTACTGATGTTCCTGCTGTCGCACGAGTGTCGGACTTCTTGCCCGTGTTCGATGGTGAGGAACCTACCGCGCTGGTCTATTATAGCCACTCAGCTCCGATGAATGCTGGGAGTGTACGAAAAGAGATTTTCAGGTGGTGATAATTGCTTGGTTTAGATGAATGTTTAGACTCCGAGGGTTTTCTATGCTTTCAAACCGGTTATTTTGTCATTTGATCCACTGGAAGCTCTATAATACTTGAGATCCCCTGGCCGCTCAACTTGATCTCGAATGAGGCTTGCCGCGGTTCTGGATGGGTCCGCGGCATGACAGCCCCGTCAGCAGCGCAAGCGATGACCCTGAAGTTGACACACTCAACCAAAGTTTCTACAGACTCCAGCAGCGAAGTCAAATCCCCCGCCGGGCGTCTCCCCTACTACACTGAGAGGCAACATCGCCATGATCCTGCCATGACGCAACCCTTGCCACCACCCACAGTATACGTTTACCACCCCGATAATAAAATCCCCCACCCGATTATTACCTTAGATTCCACCACACGAAATTCACCTAACGAGCTTATATCTGACGAGACAATCCCAAACATCTATCACGATTCCCACAACCACAATGCCAGACCCAAACGACCAAGCCTTTTTCTACATGCGCTGGAACGACTCCGAACAACCACTCAATGCCGACGACGATGAAGAAACCCGGATGCTTGCCGCAGAATTCCATGGCGATGCCCCAGTAGACGAGGAGAGTACCTCGCCGTCGCAATCCGAAATTGATTCTGGGACTACGGCGAGGGATTCCCCAATCCTAAGTATGGAGTCGATGCCGTATTCTCGCGGGCAAGAGAACGTGTACATCACGTCTTGGCACAGTTGGCCCGACTATGAATAAAGCGCCATTCGAATTTATGATAGTCTTAGGGATTTCTTGAGGACGAGAGGGAGAGTCGAAATGAAATCGGGAGCGAATGGAGTTCTCAGGGAGCATGCATTGTGATGAAGAGCTGTGGACAATTTTGGTGACTTGGGTACCAAGTTAAAAGGGTGTCGTGGAGTTCGATATGTGGCCACGACTCAGCTGGACAAATATACAGGGTCCTTTTCTCCCTTTGACAGGGTGCGCGAAATCAATAAATGATCGATGACAATCAACTCCTTCACAAACTCTTCTTAGATCCTTTTCTGGGGAGCATGAGACCTATCTCTTTCTCCTTGGAAGAGGTTGCAGCTCCACACTGTATTGCCGGATTTTATGTTGCGCAGCTCGCGTCAGGGCTGTAAACACAGATCTTGCGTTTATTAATTCAGGGAATGAATAGCTCTTAAGACCCGCTGTCTTGGGAGGTTGCTCTTTTGCTATCGTAGTAAATTGATGTGCTGAACGTGTGATACTGAGGAAGAGTTGCCACCGTCCCGTGTCAGGACAAGCTCTTCACAGCTTCTTATCAAATGCTGTTACTCTGGCATCAATCCTGCCAAGTAAGCAAGCCAAGAAGAATGATCCGTATGCAGGTCTAGGTTGAACAGGGGTTTAGAGAAGCACGGTCCATGAACGACATATCAGCGTTGCTTTTCTCTGACAAAGTGACGTTCATAGATATTTCTCGGTGGGTTTTGATTGTCGGTTGTTGTAGCTATGTAATGACTCCTCGAGACGTGCATTCGCCTGAGGACTTGCTTCAAATCAATGGCAGAATCATCAGGAACATCGATAGTCTGGCTATCAGCTTCAAGTGTAAGTCAGCCCTTGGGAATGGTCGAAAGGAGAGCCTTTGCTCCCTTGAAGAGCTTAGACGTTAGCATTGATACTGGCACTCGCGCTAGCAATTAGCCTTGTGCAAACAATGCACGAAGTTGACATCCTCATACAAAGCTTCTGTAAGTTTCGGAAACAAAGTGAAATTCCCCGCAAACGTTGCCGCTACCTCATTCACAGGCGACATTCCAATTATCATGTTATGATGCAACCGTTGCCACCAGCATTATATATAGACAGCGTACCTAGTCATAATATAAGAACAATCTGAACTAAGTCTCTCCAAATTGACAACATACAAAACTTCCACAGCGCTTCCGCTTGATCGTCCCGATAAACTACACATTAAGTCACCCTTGTTCTCTCTTATCTGGCCATCCAGCCAATAGAACGCCATGCCTACAATGCGTACTTTCGGATCCGACGGAACCCCGTATGTCGGGTCCTGGATTGATACGCAAAACATCCTCCAAAGCAGGGAATTTCGAGTGGTGGACGCATACAACGCCGAGCTGTCAAACGAACACAATGACGCCTCACATCAACAACCAGGAGAGAGGCCTTGGGCTGCGGCGGCGGACGAGCTCAACTTCCCCAGTTATGGGGAAGAGGATCTTCGTAGCCTGGACGAGGAGCTGATAGCTTTTATGAACACATATCATGACAATGACTTGCCTAATGGTTCTTGGCAGCCTAACTAGCTGCGAAGACCCGGCTTTGTAGATCCAATGGTGATTTCCTTGCTGTACCGCAATGTTATTGCTTTTGACCTGATGCTCTAACTCATTTTGATCTTGAGTTGAAAACAAGTTGTTCATAATTACTCTGTTAGTACTGGTTGTTACGATATAGTACCACATGCGAAATGGCGACATGATATAACGTCTTCAGATTATAGTACGTATTAATTGTTCGGACTTCTTTACATTTTGATAGGGAACTATGTCTAACCACTTATTTTAGATCATATAATTGAATGGACGAATTGGCTAAAGAATGATGGTCAGTTCGTAGACATGGACCAACAAGATGAGTGCTTTTATAGATCATTGGGGACCTGTAGTAACCTGCAGATTAAAAGCCTCACCGGTGAGAGCCCTTGCATGAACGGCCGGTCTCAACAAGTCTATATCCCTATGGACTGTTTGTATAGACTCTAAACCCCCAAATCCTAGCCCCTGCCTCAGCCTACCTTACAGGCGGCTTTGCAATAACCATATCATGACGCAATCATTGCCACCAGGAGGGTACATGTACATCGTCAATCGAGACCATTCAAACCAACTCTAATGTCTTCTTCAGATTTGGCTCCACGATTCGATACACAAACTATACCGCCCACGTACATTGACAGAGAAAACTTCAATACTCTCTTCCCCTCCTCTTACACTTTACAGCAATAAAATACCATTTACCCTTGCCCAATCTATACTCTACCAACCACCATGTCCGACCAGACCAACAAGTCCGAATTGGATATAATCTACGAGCTCATCGTAGGCAGAGAACTCGCGCGGAATCTCGGGGCCACCAACGCCCACCCTCGGCCGTCCGATCCATCACTGCCACAATTCCAGGAGACGAAACTAAACAGACAGCCTAATAAGGAGCTGCTGTTTGCAAAGACAGGAAAGTAAACGTGAGACAGATCAAAACTGCAAGTATAAAAAGAGATGTAATACATTGTGATAAGGCTCACCAGTACTGATCTATTAGGGTGCGTGTGGAACCAGGCGTGGGGAACATAGGGTAATGAAATGTTCTTGTTATTAAATTAGTGGCATAGGTACCTTTATGTTGCTAATGCCTGGCTGTGAATAGTGTTATGAAGATGTGTAGATGAATAAGCCCAAGAGTATAGGACATAAAGGCGTTGACCAATAGATGAAAATACACAAGTTCTTTTAAGGGCGCGGCGTTACACTAATGGCTTTACTTCAAAGTATTATCTTCAATGGAGTACCTGTAGTGTTTGAAACAGCAATCTCTTTGGGCACTGAATTAACAATGTAGCAATAGAAACAGTTTAGACACAAACCCTTGTTAAGCTTCTATATAGTCTATATTATGAATGATTTGTCTGATATCCCCTATTGCTTTGTAGTATAGGAAGAATTTCAATTCACAACTACGGGCCTTTTCTATATAAACGCTGAGATAGGAGCTTTGTCATTGACATAGTATTGTTACTCATTGTACAATAGCATTGTGTCTCATTCCTTCTTTGTTACTTGACGGATGTCCTCCACTAGATACTTTGGTTCGGGAACAGCAATCATCTTATAAAAACACCATCTCTTCTCATCCTCCTCCGCAACCACCATTCTTGTCTCTCTCTGTCTATCTTGTTGAGCATTTCTTGTATGTCCCGACACCAGCAAACCGACCCTATCGACAAAAGCAACCGTCATCATGCCTAGCTTCCTGCGAACCTCGCAAGCCCTGCTGCCCCAATCGAAGAAGCTGCACGAAGCCATCTTGTCCCGGTACATCCCCGGCTATACTCTGATGTCGCACTTCGCGACGCACCACCTGCGTCTCGATTTGACCAAGTACTTCTCCCAGCTGACCTTGGCGATGTTCGTGTAATACTTCACGAAGCACCTGGCAGCCATACTCCGCCGCGTTTTCAGCTTCCTGTGCACAACCACTGTCGAGATCACCCCAGACGACGAGGGATACAAGTTCTACCTGTTCTGGATGGCGCACCACAAGCCCCTGAACAAGGTGGCGGGGTACGTTGTCACGACGGACTCCAAGGACGATGAGGATGGTGATGTCGGTGTCAGCGAGAGCCCAGCCGACGCAGACACATACGACGAGGAGATCAGCGACTTCGACGACTGGCGCAAGACAATCGCTCTGATTCGCACCCAGCGTATTAGCTTCACCCCGCACCCGGGCACCTATCTGAACTGGTACAAGGGGCGGCCCGTGAAGATCCAGCGCATTCGGCAGAAGGTCGAGAAGGTCGAGAAGCATCACGGCAAGGGGGCAACCAGCACCACCACTACCAGTGATACCCTTCGCATCACAACCTTTGGCGGCGGGCTGTCCTTCCACAAGAAGATGAGCTACGAGGCACAGATGGCCTACCGCAACCACGTGAGCAAGTACACGGTCATCTACGAGAATCGGGGTACTGGGTGCCCTGCATGAGGCGCACCCCGCGCGCCATGTCGACGGTCGTGCTGGATGAGGACTTGAAGTCCACCTTCCTGGAGGATATCAAGGAGTATCTGCACCCCAAGACCCAACAGTGGTACAACAGCCGCGGCATCCCTTACCGCCGCGGGTACCTCCTGCACGGCCCCCCGGGCACCGGCAAGACCAGTCTCTGCTTCGCCGCTGCGGGCTACTTCTCCCTGCCGCTGTACCAGCTCAATCTCACCATGAAGGAGATGACGGACAGTAACTTGGCGTTTATTTTCCGCTCTTTCCCCTCGCATTGCATCGTCCTCATGGAGGATGTGGACTGCGTCGGTGTGGCGCAGGAGCGGGCGAAGACCCCCCGTTCCAGGAGGGTTCCGCAGCACCAAGTTGGGGTTCCAATGCCTCGTCATCATGGGGATTCCTCTTCTTCTCGTGAGCCAGCTAACCATGTCACCCTCAGCGGGCTCCTGAATGCCATTGACGGCGTCGCCGCCGGCGAGGGCCGCATTCTCATCATGACCACCAACCATCCCAAGAAACTCGACGAGGCCCTCACGCGCAACGGCCGCGTGGACCTTACCATCGCATACACCTACACCAAGACCCCGGAGATTATCAATCTCTTCAAATCGATCTACTCCGAGGTTGACGGTGATCGGGATGCCGCGGGGGACTCCGCTGTCGACGTCTATGCCCGTCAATTTGCTGACCTTGTTCCGCCGGAGGAGCTCAGTGGGGCAGAGATCCAGGGATACCTGCTTCGGCACAAGAAGTGCCCGCAATCTGCTATTCAGGGAGTAGGTAAGTGGCTCGAGGAGACTGAAGCTATGCGCGGGGGACGTCGAAAGATACCTACTGATAGCCCGACACAGCCCAGCGCTTCTACTGACGTTCGATCCGCGGCTGATTCGGAGGAGTTTTCCTGACTTTGATGCACCAACTAATTACGGGCTTCACGGATTTAATGGTGACAGCCTCGCTCAGCGTTCTTTATTAGGATCACAATCAATGGATAATAGGGAACTGTCTGGGTGGGGATACAAAAATATTGCTTGTCAACTTTGAAAGCTGTCAGATATAAGAATTGAAGGGTTTAGTTTATCCATTGCACGCGTAATAATCTTTCAGTAATTATTGATTCAAGGATCCACAGTAACACTACAAACCATAACAAACTGTTACTTTATGGCTAAGTGCCCGTAGACTGAAAGTCCTTTCTGCTCAAGGAACTCACTTTTCCCGAAGCCATTATCTCCAGAATGGCAGACAATTCTTGTCTTTCTTTGTCATTTTGTTGTCTGTGCCACTTTTGCTGTCTTGGGCAACAATACTATTTCACATCTGAACACCACCTCGACCCCACGTACAACACATTTCATCAGTCAATCCACGTATACACAACACAAACTACAGCCTTCAAAGATATGATCAGAACGGTTGTGCCTTGGTAATCATGAGGAAAACTCACATCACAATCATACTTGATCTCTGATAACATCGATCTAGCCGATGGTTCTCTCCATAGGATCCCAAATCCTGTCAACTGTACTCCGTACTATAGCGACATCAGATAAGATATAAGAGATGCTATCAGCACGTGACCATCATCGCCTCTCCAGCCCCACCGGCCGGGGTGGAGAAATCCCCGAATGTCCGGCATCCTCGAGGACCAAATGTTTAAGAAGCTCAATTTCTCAACCTTAGATCTCTTCTCTCATGACCAGCACCATCAACTAATCAATCCCATTATTCAGACACAAAAGATGCAACCCTGCTCCGTCTTCGTCCGCTGGCGCCCCCTCCCACCCGACGCGTCCGACCCCGCCGAACTCACTCGCAACTATGAACCCCACCCCAGCCACAACCGCATATCAATATCCCTTCCCCCGCAGAGTCCGCAAGCCCGTCCCTGGAAAAGCAGCCACGCGTTCACTCACATCTTCGAGTCGAGCGACACGAACCGCGCTGTGTTCGACGCCGTGGTTGCGCCCACTTTACCCCGGGTCCTCACCGGCGGAACCAGCACCGTCTTCGCCTACGGCCACTCCGGCAGCGGCAAGTCCCACACCATCATCGGCTACGACTTCGAGCATCGCGAGCAGTACGGGCTGTGTCTCGCAGCAGCGCAGCACTTGCTGGACGCCCTGCACGCGGTCAACACCAACACCACCGACAAAACATCCCACCTCGGCCTCGGCCTGCGCATGTACGAGCTCCGCGGCAACGCGGCCTTCGACCTCCTCAACGACCACAGCAAATGCCACATCCGCGAGGGCGGGGACGGAAAGACGCACGTCCGCGGGGAGACGGAGGTGCTGGAGCACGGCCGCGTGCGGGTGCGTCCCATCGCCACGAAAGCGTGCTGGAGCTTTGATGAGTTCCTCACACATCTCCGTGGTGGATTGGCGCTGCGCGCAACGGGGTCTTCGACGGTGCATGATCTGAGTTCGCGGACGCATGCCGTGCTGGAGGTGGAGATCGTGTCGCGCGCGCTGCTGGCGGCGCGGGAGGCGGTCGTGGAGCGCGAGTCGGATTTCGTGCCTGTTGCGAAGCGGGCGACGGATGTTTATCTTGAGGAAAGTTTGAGGGGGTTAGTTAAGGATGCAGAGGGGAAGTACGTGCCTAATCCCGAGTATCAGGTGAATCAGGCGCGGATTGATGCGGCGGAGGCTAAGAAGGCTGAGTTCCAGGGGTGTGTCGATGATGCAGTGAGGAAAGTGGAGGAGGTACTGAGGACAGCATCGCATTTCTGTCTTGGGGGCAAGTTGGTGTTGGTCGATCTGGCGGGGTCGGAGTTCTACCATGATAAGACTATTGCGGCGGTCCCGCGGCCGAAATTGTCTCCCCAGGAGCAGCGCGAGGGCAGGCAGATTAATACGGATCTGCTCGCGCTGAAAGAGGTCATTCGTGCGAGGGCGGCCAGGGCGGCCAGGATCCCGTATCGGTCGTCGCCGCTTACGATGGTGCTGAGGGAGCATTTCCAGGGGACGACGGGGCAGGGGGCCGATGCTTGCTCGAGGATGATTTTGACCGTCTCCCCAGCTTTGGGGCAGGGGGCGGCCACGGCCAACACTTTGAAGTATGGGAGTTTGGTCGGGGGCCTGGGGCCTGGGAAGTGAAAGAGAAGATTAGTATGCTTGACCACAAATACAAATAGAGAACCAAGACTATGAAGGGTCGCCAAGAATCTCTGTGAGAGATGGAACTTGAACTCATGTACATTGTCAATGTAGTAGGAGTTGAGGAAATCGTCGATGATTGACATGATGCTCTACCGGGATAAGTACTAGTAGGACGGTGAAGGTTCCGCTGTTTCTTGATTCCACGAAGTCGACATATCTAGGTCAACGACACGGATTACTATATTCAGGAAAGGCATTGTCTATGACTTGTAGATTCACAACAGCGATTCAACAAACGCTGCACTTGTCTTCAAGTGAGCCCCCTCGACGGACATATCAGCATGTACATTTCCTAGCCAATCCAACACTTCCCTCACACCGTGACCTCCACTCATCGAAACAAATATTTAACCGCAGATGTGAGCACCGCCGGAGATTTGGTAACCTGAAGTCCACAGTCAGTATTTCTCACCCCAAACGTTCGCGAACACCAGTGACTTACCACTAGCGTCGTACAAGAAACCATCGCTGTGGATATAGACATCTAGACCATAACATCAGTGTCTGCTCGAAGCACAAGGCCAAAGCAAAGAGCATACCGCCGTAGCTGGAGGGCCAGGTGTAGGTAACCGAGTTTTTGGAACAGACGCTGCTGTCGACCCAGAAAAAGCCCCAGCCGCCGCCGATGGTCACGGAGCCGCCGTTCTTGAGCTGGATGTCGGAGCCCTGGTTGTCCTGGATCCAGCCGTTCTTGCCGTAGTTGTTGTGGAAGTGGGTGGCGGACACGCTCAGAGCGGAGACGAGGAGGACGGCGAGGGACTTGAGGAAGTGCATGGTGGGCAGGGGTGATGATTCTGTGTAGAGACTTGTAGATGAGGATGATGTTGATGATGGTAGTGATGAGAGGTTGTTTTCGAATGGCCATTCAGAGGTTTATATAATTTTCAGGCAAGATGAGGGCACTCAATGCCATTGCACCTTTCCGTGACGGCCCCCACATTCTTCCCAGTGAAAGGCGCCCATCTGACTCTCGCTTCGCTCGCTTACCTGCAGAACAGTCCAAATGTATACTGTAGGCTGCGGAAATTCCCGCAAAGGTGGAGTGAAAAAAGTGCTATATCAGTGCCAGACACGGAGATCGTAAGGGTCGAGCCGCACCGGGGAAGGACGCAGTGCTCAGCTGGACGAGGCTAGACCAACGCTAAGCATGCAGGGTCAGCCTTAGACACCTTAAGTATAGTATAGTATAGCAAACTAATTTACCATGCTAACCCCTTCTGGAAAGTCCTCTCCTCCTTACCGCCAGATCCAGATCGTCATGAGACGCGCCTGTGCTGAAGGGGTTTCCCCAGACTGCCTGAATCGGGCTGGACCATGCTGACATGCGTCCATAGCCGCCGCCACAATTCCCCAAAAACGAATCGCCAGCGCACGCGGAAGGCAGGGGTTAAGGTTTGTTTCTGTGCTTGTGGAACAAGACGCTCGTATTGTCTGTTCGAGAAGTGCTGCAAGGCGTCCAAGGGGAACTCGTATCCGCAAGTGAAATCGGTCTGTTTGAAGCGAATGGCTGGAATATCTAGGAATCGGAGTCGGCATCTTATTTCAAGGGGCGGGGTTTGCTTAGCCGAATCAAGACTAGACAAGCCTCTTAGTCCCGGATCATCCAATTGGCTGATTTAGAGAGTGAGACATTCAGCGAGAGAAGAGGAGATCGAGAGGGGACGATGTAACCTTCTTTATAGTTTACCTCGGGCTTTGGGGTCAGGCTATCACTTTGGACTTTTTGACTCTGGCTACTTCATAGAAGAGTTCTATTGGCAATGGTCAGTATCGAGGTAAAAAGGTATGAATGAATCGAAGGCCGTAGCGACGTCACACAGAGATATCGCCTAATCAGCCGACTTAGAAAAGAAAAGAAAATAGGCTTTGGAACCGCAGTATGCAATCAAACAAGTCAACCCTGTACAACGTAGCCAGCTAGCACATGGCTACTGACTTCGTATTTGTCTCAAACTGATACCTTTCCCCGTGAAGCGAATATTCACCTGCTGCGGCTAGGGCTCGTGGCTAGGTTTCCATTCTGCAGACAAATACCCAGTCCGGAGTACATTCATCCCACTGCTTGATCCAGGGCCAACTCCTCTCGACGACTTGCTCACCTCATTCGACTTTCTCACGTGGGAATCAAATGTTTGCATTTATCCGTTGCAGGAGAGATTCCAGAGGCTCTTGTGATTCCAGTGCCCGAATCTGGGACCTGAGCGCCTTGCAGCGGGCGGACTTGGATCAGCTGTACGTCGAGCACAGGAGGTGAGACAAACAATCTCACGAGAACTGTGTTTGCTATCGTCTATTCCAACGGTCATCGTCCACAAGGTCTATGATAATTACGCAAGGGGCCAGCACAAGCTCGGTGTTATCCATCGCCTTCGACTTAGCACTAGCCCCACTTATCCACCAACACAGCAACAGAAATTTATCGGGGGCTGAAGGTTGAGATCTGCTGGTCATCTCGTCACTCTAAACGTTATCTTATAAAACGTACGATTTTATGCCATACTGGGTTGGTGATGGCGCCATTTGGAGCTCTTGCTTGTCGTCCTCAGTGGATTACGCTGTCCCAAGCAGTTCCAAGCATACGCCGTTTCCCCAACAAGACAACCGCACAGGCGATTCGCAAGAAGCTCAACTCCTTCCCAATCGCTCCTGAACTACATGCTTAGAAACTTATTGATATTTGCACAGACGTTTGAAAATGCGACCGAGTCACATAACAGTTGATCGAGAGGAATGAGCAGCTTATAGCTAAGGTTTTGACACGTGCATCCATCATGAAAATGTCGTATTCTGCAAGTGTTACATATGCTGAGCACTTCATCAGAACCAGAACGCCCCCAAGAGTACCATTGCCATTGAAGTCGAAGTTTCCTTGTTTTACCTTGGCGGTCTGGCAATTATGCGATCTCGCGTGAAGCTGCCTGCTTTCTTGAGCCCAATCGCACTTTCTCTATCAGTATAACACGCCTAGAACTAGTATATCCGGTCAAAGATATACATTGTTTAGGTGATTATGCTTATTAATATTTCCGCTACAGCATGTCTACCTACAGTTTACCCTTGGTTTCTTGGTATTACAGTAGTATTCTACTGTATATCAAACGCGGGCTGAATTGAAATCTTTACAATCAATTTTTTTATAGTACTAATTTTTAATCTTTTTATTAGTCTAAGTCGTCGGGTGGGCGGGTGCGCAGTTGACAATGTGTCTATGTGCGCGGCCCAAATGACTCAGATACATATCCGCTTCACCAGCCTCTTTGTCCCATCATTCTACTCTTGAACCATCGAGGGTGAGCTTATACCGTGCATATACGACTAAATTTCTGGATAAAACCCGTTCTAACTAGAGATGATGTACCAAAAGCTTCGTGCTCTCTTCCACCGAACTGACCCGATCAAGAACCCAGCCACGGACTACACACCATTCACCACACCATGCAGTGCGCTGTTCAACACAGCATTCTACATCCACACAGTGCCTGACTAAGATAGCCTTACCAGCGGGCGACTCAAGTGGTATCTGTCACTGTACAAGTCCAGGATCTGGCATCTGATTTAATGGCGTGATGCCTGCACAGAGTATTCCGACGACCGGATATCGCACCAAGGCCTAGCTAGCATTTGTCATAGTGGACTTAAAGCATCTACTCTTCTACTTCAGTCTAGGCCCTCGATGCATGAATGGTAGATCTAACTCGCAGTCACATCTTTGTCCCCACTGGTGAACAACCAAAAGAGGAGTTTTTCGAGCCGGGAAAGCCTGGACTCTCAGCTACGGAACGTGCAGACATCAGTCGGCTTGTCAGCCGCCTTGTGGACCCTGGTGCTGAAACCCACAACAGCCCCAGGGCTATGTATCTCTGTTGCCTATCCACAATGGAAATGATTTGGTTCGGCAGGTGGACTCTACAGGACGGGAAAGAGATTGAGATAGGATTGGCATTCTGGGCTAGGCCATTCGTCCCAGCGGATTCTCGCCGGGCACAAGGGAAAAGCTTGTCAGAGATATCAAGTGTCTAAAGTATGTATTGTGTTGGGGTGTTGGGCCCAGAAAAGGTACGTACCTCTAGATTGATAAGTGCTCATGACGTCAAGTGTCGATCCTCAAATCCCGTTCGAGAAATCGCCAAGGCTGTGCTTTCGAGCGGTACCGAGGCAGATCTCCTTTCGCGCTCTGAAGCTGTTTGTGTACTCCTTAGATCACCAGCCTTCGAGAGGGATGTATCTACCGTCGTCTGGGCCCATTTTACCTGCAAATGCTTCAGGTACAGCCGCAGGTGATCCACGGATCCGAAATGGAAGGACTGGCCAACTGAAACAGACAGACTTTTCCAATTGCTCCGTACCATCTGTACCATGCATGCATGACAGTCTGGCCGAGGTTTCAGCGAGGACAAGCTCAGCCTTTGGACCTGATGATCTCTCTCATCCACGAAGGAAGTTGGTGCCAGTTGGTGCAGGTTGAAGGTTTTGCCGGGGCGGGCCGATTTCCCGATCGGGGCAAGAGGCCTCAAAAATTGGGCGATTGCGGGTACGCAGGAATCACTAGTAGTGGTAGTAGTAGTCGTAGTAGCCCTAATGAACCCCTTAAACCGCCGGAGAGAGGACCCGTCCAGGAACACGATCACCGCCCCAGGGGAAGGAAAGGGACGATCGTTCATCTATCGGCAACAGACCCTGGGTCAGGGAAAGGGTCTGTCTTTGACTCCTTGCGATCCGAGCGCCCCGACTGGCAGCAGTCATCAGTCATCCTACCGGTCTGGCTGCTACACCGACACATAACGGTTCGCCCGCGACGTCGCAGGGTGAGACATTTGCGGCTAACCGTGGATTGTGATGTATCAACCGCACGGTTTCAGGCCTTTCTGCCCGGGGTTGAGCCACCTCCCAACGATGTCAACCGAGCTTCTCGAACAGCCTCGGTGGAAGATGAAACACGCCCGATCCGATCGTGGGCTGGTCAGCTCAACTGACTTGTGAAGGGTCTCAATTTTGAGATTTCGGACGAAGTATAAGGTTGAAAGGTTTTCACGCGGATTTGGTCGGTCCAGTCCAGTCCAGCTCATCCATCCACTCCAACCAGTGCAGTGCACTTCCTCTCTCTTTCCTCACTCAGGTTGTTCCCTCGTTTACAGAGCTGCGCTCTATCTCTCTCGTTTCAATTGCACGTTTGTTGCTGTCGATCTTTTCATGATGAAGTCCTTCGTTACTCTTTCTCTCCTTGCCACTGCGCTGGCTGCCCCGACCCCGACTCTGCACGGGCGTCAATTCGATCTCTCCTCTCTGCTGTCCGGATCCAGCTCTGGCTCTAGCACCTCCACTGGATCCAGTGGCCTGAGTGCTCTAGCCTCCCTGTTCCCGACCAGTGGTTCGGCGACCGGCAGCACCACCGGCTCTGCAGATACTAGTGGCAGTGCTAGTGGGAGCACCACTGGCACCACCACTAGCAGCACTGACAGCAGCAGTGGCTTGAGTGCGCTGAGCTCGCTCTTCCCCAGCAGCAGTGCCAGCACCACCAGCTCCTCCGGCAGCAGCGATGGGCTCAGCGGTATGATCAGCAGCGTCATGGGTGGTAAGCTTCTGCTCCTTCTTGTGCACCCCTCGGTATACACCATACTCATCCCGACTAGGCTCTAGCACCCAAAACGGAGTCACCTCCAACACCGGCTGCAAGGAGCTGACCTTCATCTTCGCGCGTGGAACCACGGAGATGGGCAACATGGGCAGCGTGGTCGGCCCCGAGGTCGCCTCGGCCCTGCAGTCGCTGACCGGCAACAAGGTCACAGTGCAGGGTGTGGACTACCCCGCCGACTGGGCTGTGAGTCTCCCTCTATCTCTTGAGCACTCCCCGATGGCGTCAAGCTAATCAAGTTACAACAGGGCAACATGGACCTGGGCGCCTCCGGCGGCCCCAAGATGGCCAGCCTGGTCAAGCAGGCGCTGAGCCAGTGCCCCAACACCAAGGTCGTGCTGGGCGGCTACTCGCAGGGCTCCATGGTGGTGCACAACGCCGCCAGCTCCTTGAGCGCGGGCCAGATCCAGGCGGCTGTGTTGTTCGGTGACCCGCTCAAGATGACCTCGGTCGGCAAGCTCGCCTCCAGCAAGGTCAAGGAGTTCTGCGCCACCGGCGACCCCGTCTGCGAGAACGGCGTCAATGTCATGGCTCACTTGTCCTATGGAAGCGATGCCCAGACCGCCGCGCAGTTCTTGGTCAGTGCCGTCGGGCTTTCTTAAGTTTGTGTTGAGGTAGAAGTATGAGGATGCTTATGGTTATGGAATGGCTTATGGATCTGAGAATGGTGATTTCTTGAGCTTGGATATGGGTATATATATGATGAGGTAGGGTGAGATGGCCTGGTGCTGTCTCATTGCTGCTGCTGCTGGTGTTAAATTTTCTTGCACACACTCCTTTTACACATGAATGTGAACACACTTTTCGGGGTACTTACTCTTATATGAATTGAGAGTAGTCTTTTCTAGAATTCCGGAAACAGTTTCCAAGTACCTGAAGTACATATATATGTGTAAAATCTATGCCACTTGTGGGAAGACAGGGCGTTGTAGTTCGGTTTTTATTTCTTTTCTCGGGTGATCGTTCGGAAGGGGCCGAGTAAGCCGTAATAAGGCCCATTAGCGTACAGTATCAACATTTTTCAACCGTACAACAGCGCAGACCGACAGAGCAATCCCTATCCCTCTGAGTCGACCAGCCATCCGGAGAGTCCGAGACAAGAATGACAAATGCGACCGCGTGCAACAAGCCTTCTGGGTTCCCCGGCTTTTCCCCAGAGTCATCCCAGCCGTGCGGGGTCAACTGCCGATCGGTTCTCTTCGTTGGCCTGGTGTTTCGGAATATCCGACATCTTGGCACTTGCTTAACAGATCTTTTATATGCGGCGGATGACCCGCACCCGCACATATCTTGCCCCCCCTGCTTCTCTCCCCTTCTCCACTCTACTCCGCTACATCTCACCATGGACGAGGACAAGGGCACCTCCAACCACATCGACTACGCCGATGAACAGGGGCTGGAAGATGGCTACGATGCCAAACCTGCCGAGCCGGCCTTAGATCCCCAGGATCCCAAGGTAAGCAACTCTACGTGACGCTATCACGGACTATCTGACTCACCTTCACTCCACAGAACTGGCCCCTACTGACCAAAATCACAACCTACATGACAATCTGCTGCTTCACCTTCCTGGCCAATGTCAACAGCAGCAATTTCACCGTCGCCACCAAAGCCATCGTCGCCGAGTTCCACGTCTCCTCCACGGACGCAGGGCATCTCGTCTCACTGAACGTCTTCTTCTTCGGCCTGGGCAACCTCGCCTGGGTCCCTCTCATGCGGGTGTTTGGCAAACGACCCGTCTACCTAGCCGCCCTGCTCGGCCTCTCGATGATGAATGTCTGGTCCGCGAAGGCCACGGGATACTCGGAGTTGCTGGGCGCTCGGATCATGTCCGGGCTCGCTGCTGCCGCCGCCGACGCGACTGTGCCCGCGGTGGTAGGCGATATGGTCCGTCCGGAGGGTCGGGGTCACTGGTTGATGATCTTCCATCTGGCGCTGACGTCGGGGTTGTTCGTGGGGCCGTTGATCAATGCGTATATTGTGCAAGACGCAGGTTGGCGCTGGATGTGTTGGTTCTTGGCCATTGCATCTGGCGTCGTGTGGGTGGTGGGTATCTTCACTATCCGCGAGACCACGTATCTGCCTAGCCGGCCTAAGGCTTCCCAGGACAAGTCCCACAACTCAGTCTGGAGCGTACTCGCTTTGAAGCAGGGCTACAATCCCGATGCCTCGTTCCTGCGCACGGTCAAAGCCATCTTATCCGCGGCAGCCTATCCCCAGCTTCTGTGGTGTGCATTCACCATTGGTGTCTCAGTCGGATGGTCAGTTGTCCAGTCCCTGTCATTCGTACCGTACATACCTCCCCAAGCTGACTGGATGACCATGAGGAAAACAGGAACATTGTCGTGCAACTCAGTGCCTCTCGCACGTTCACCTCCGCCCCTTACAATTGGCCCGCCGGTGACATCGGCCTCCTCTCGCTGGCCGGGTTTATCGGATCCCTCCTCGCTTTCTATGTCGGCGGCCGCCTCATCGACCAAATCTCGACGCGATACACCCAACGCCGCGGCGGCGACCGGCAACCTGAATACCGTCTGCCTGCCTTGGTAGTGCCCGGGGTGATCGGACCGGGGGGCATTCTGATATTCGGACTGTGCATCGCGCACCAGACGCACTGGATGGGCGTGGCGGTGGGATACGCAATGCAGGCGTTCGGGGTGGCGGCGATCTCGAATGTGGCGGTGACATATGCGTTGGATTGTTATCAGCGGGTGAGTTGTGTTCTTTTTCTTCCCCTTCCTCCCAAACCATCGAACATCTGCGTTCTGTCGCAATGCTCCTCGGGAAGTGTGCCGAGGGAATATGCAGCATATAAACTCCCCATTTTCCAATCCCCCCTCGCCCAACCCCCTCCCTTCCTTCCATTCGGATATAACATCCCCCCCCCCCCAAACCATCCCCTTAATCTATCCTCTCGTATTCCACCGCCGATACCAATCAAACCAGAACTAACACGAGGGGTGGAATGCAGATCGCCGGCGAAGCTTTGGTGATCATCTTCGTCATCCGCAACACGATCGGCATGCTGCTTTCCCTGTACGCGAGCGACTGGATCGCGCGCCAGGGCGTGGCGGTCGTGTTCGGCGAGATGACGGCGATCCAGGCCGCTAGTTTGCTCTTGGCGGTGCCGTTGTTCTTCGGGGGAGGGCGGTTGCGCGCGCTCACGGGGCGGTATGGGCCTAATCGGGGGGATTGAGGTGTTGTTCGGTCGGTTATACGCGTATTTGTTTAGTATGGGGTGTGTATATATGCTTGTGGTGTGGTGATTTGATTGGGGTTCTACTACTGGTGGTGGTGGTGGTGGTGGTGGTGGTGGTGGTGGTGGTGTTTTCGTCTAGCATTTGTGCTCTTAGCAGTGTACTTGGGCTGGGAATCTGGTCAGGAGTTTGCTCGACTCACTTACGCTTTTCCTCAAATCCTACTAAGCATTGTGAGCCAGTAGGGAAAGACCTCGACAATGATTGCTGCTCCATTCATGTCTCACTCTCACAGGGTACGTTTCAGCTCGCTAAGAGAGTTTTCCGGGTCGGGTTTCCGAAGCTGAGTCCCCAATGAGTCGCTTCTCGCTTGCAATCTCCGTTTTGTTGTCCACTGGGTCCTCGGAGAGGTCCGAGCGGAGGGGCAGGTACCAGACTCGAATGGAAGAGGGCGGGCAGTGATTGAGAGACGGCCGGCGTGTGCATGACAGATTCTCGTCCATGGGTGAATCTCGGGGTGGCGGGGGTTTCTTGCTGATGAGTCGGAAATTGTATTTGTGGATTGACCCAATGGAGCTCCGGCGAGGGATAAGGTTTCCGAGCGCAGAATGAACCTTGGGTCGGTGAGGTCGCTTACGTGGATGATTTGATGCTCTGGGGACTGGAGGTATCTGAACTTAGTGTTGACTTCAACTACATGCATATATGTGCAAGTTACATGGCGAGGTTCTTGACTATACTGAAGGATTACAAGCTGCATGGAGCACGCCTCACCCTAAGTGCTACTGATCGCGCTGGATCCTCTCACCACATGGCACGATGGGTTGGTTTTCTCTTGTGCTTGGCTGCTGCGGTTGCTGGTGTGGGCAAGTTAGGGCCAGAACCGAGGCTACCCCTAAACTGAGTGGGTCAAGCATCGATTAGCGGCTTCGCTACTCTTCTTGGTCGTCTTGGTCCTGCCGATTTTTTTCCTCAATGGAAACAAGACAATCAGAAACTGCGTCATCCGATTCTCAGCAATAGCTGCAGTTCAATTTCCACCCTGTTCCAGTTCCTTGGGTCATTCACGGGCCAGGGTCAGCCCATCCTTCGTATTATTCTCGACAACCACGGTAGTTCCAATCTATTAGCCGAGTTTATTAGATTGCCTGTCAGCACTCAATCAGCTCCTCGTGTCCATGAATTCCTTCAGGGGAAAGAGGCCATTGTCTTCTGTTCCTGCAAGCCGTGACAAAGCTTAACCTGCATAGAACTTCGACTCCTGACCCGGACTATTATTCTCTACCTGAACTCTGTGAATCCTTTCGGTTGCTCGGCTTCCGACTTGACCTTCCTTCTTTCCTTCCTCCCTTCTAGCTTCACTTTGACCCCACCCCCTCGGGTCTGCACCGTCTTACGAGTAGTCCGCAGGCGTATGCCCTGCGTGACTTCGAACAACAGCAATTGTAGAGAAAGATGTACGCACAAAACGCAGAAATCAAGTACTGTACACTCGTTAATACCACCGGGAAGCTGGACGCAGGTCCTCTTCCAGACCGAGCTGACAGGAGCAGAAAAACAATGCACTCTGCCAGGGTGGAGCCGGTGCGTGCCACACCCACCCATGGTTTCGTTTCCGCTTCTCTGCGTGACGGGCAGCCTCGGTTCCAGATTTTCGGGCCTTGCCGGACTTCTGACTTGCTGCTTTGATTTTGCTTTGTTTTCTTTTTTTTCTTTCCTCCAGTGTGGACATTGGACAATGCCTCCGTCCCCCCCCCCTCTCTCTCAGATCTGTACCGTGACATCCGTCGATTCCCCAGACAAAGCGAGGGGAAACAAGCTGTGATCGTCACGATCTCCTGCTGCAAGAGGGGAATGGGATGTGATCAATGAGCAATAGGACGACATCCTCGCGATTGACACACTCATCGGGGAAGAATCCCCGAAAGTCTGAAAATTGGATTTCTGTCTGGGAACCAAAACACAACCAGCCAGCCAGCCAGCCAGCTGCGTCTCATGAGCAGCACTAGAACCAACTAGTCTCGTCGTGTCCCTGCTCCAGATAGACGGTCGCTCAGCGCCAAAACGTGCGCTGCAGCACATAGTCTCAGTAGTCCAACCCATCCCTCCATTAGCGGGAGAAATTGAGTTCGCCACTTTTCTTGGTGCAGGGCAAGGCAGGGCTTTTCACGTAGCGTAGTCTAGCGCGTCGTTTCCTCCTCTGGTATGAGGGGAGAGCAGCCATTCTAAAGAAAGAGCTTGGTTCATTGTAGGGGTGGATAATTGTATATGACAAAGTGCATCGAAGTGTCGCCTGGCTGGTGCAGTGGTCACTGCTGGTTTTCTTCTGGTTCACTGTCTCCGCTGCAGTCCTGGCGTTTGCCTGTCTGTCACCTTATATCTCCGGGCAGCAGTCTGTGCTTCTTTCTTTCCCCTTCTCTCTTTTCCTTCCCCAGATCTATTCTCATCTGTCGCTCTTTTTTTTTCGTTCTTTCTTTTACTTGTGTTGTTCCCAGCCGTCTTTGATCAGGATCATGCCGAGTTGAGCACATCATGACCAACAGCTCCTCCATCACGCCGGCCATGGCGCCGCCCGCCGGGATGGTCTCCAACTTCGTCGACCCCCCGTCGTGCGGCCTCAAGTTCCTGGTTGTAAACTGTGTCTTCCTGCCGTTGGCGGTGATTGCGCTGGTCGTGCGCATGTGGACGCGCATCTACCTGGTGCGCAGTGTGTCGTATGATGATTGTAGGTCTCCTTCGCTACCGATTATTGGGTGTAGTACACTAACGACACTCCAGACCTGATGATTATCTCAGTTGTAAGCTATTTCCTCAATAATATCTCGTGTCGTGCATCGCCACTGACCAACAGGTCTTATCCTGCATCCTCACCGGCGTCACACTCGACAGTAAGCCACCCATACCCTGGGACAACCTCAACAACGACGCTAATGGACAGTGCTCAACTGGGGTCTGGGTAAACACATGTGGGACGTCCCGTACAGCTCGCTCACCCCGTGGTTCCTGAAGGTAGATGATTCCACCTCGCCCCTCCACCTCACCCAGACGCGCAGATCTCACTGACGACAATAGCTCAACGTCGTCGCGGCCATCATCTACTGCGCCGGCACCGGCTTCACCAAAGTCTCCGTCCTGATCTTCTACCTGCGCATCTTCCCCAGCAAGACCTTTCACTACGCCGTCTGGACCGTCATCTTCATCGCGGTGGGCTACAACGTGGCCAGCGTGCTGGCCAATATCTTCAGCTGCAGCCCCGTGGCCGCCTCGTGGGATTATTCGATCACGAACGCGACGTGCATGAACCGGCCGGTGTTTTACTTTGCGAATGCGGGACTGGGTATTTTCACGGATTTTATGACGACGTTGGTTCCGATGTGGGTTTTTTCTTGTTGCTTCAAGGGAGGATATGCTGATGGTGTGGTAGTCCGTGGCTGCGGAGATTGCAGATGCCGTTCCGACAGAAATTTGCAGTTGGGGCTATGCTGGCTATGGGGTGCATGTAAGTGGTTTAGCATTCTTTTGGTTGGAGCGCACGCATGATGCTGATAAGGTAGGATAGTGTCGGAGTCATCAGCTGTATCCGTCTCTCCAGTTTATACACCCTGCTGGAAAGCACCGACCTCACCTGTAGGCTCCCGCCTCTATCTTCCTCACGCGACCACAAAAATTGGAGACTAAGACAAGCACAGGGACCACGACCAACGCACTCATGTGGTGCACCATCGAACTCAACCTGGGGATCATCGGCGGGTGCACGACAGCCATGCGCCCCTTCGTGCGCCGCTACTTCCCTCGCCTGCTGGGTCTCTCGACGCACAGCGGCGGCTACCACGAGTCGGCCTCCCGCAAATACGGCCACCCGCTGGGCTCCATCCCCCGCGATGCGCCCGAGTTCGCGCCCGCCAGTAACCACTACTCGACTCGATTGCACGGGGGTACCAACGATGACAGCGAGGAGCATATTCTTCCGGGGACGACGACGCCAGGGGCCACCTTGCACCGCAGCAAGGGCAGTACGGAGGGCATTATCCGGACGGTGGAGTTTAATGTGGATAGTAATACGGACCTGCGATAGCGGATGATACGGTATATTGATGCATAATTTATATGAGATTTTCCTATTTTTGCTTTCGATCTGTTCTTGCGCTTTGATTCTTTCTTCTGTGTTTTTGTTTTTGCTTTTCTACTTTTTTTATTTTAGTTTTTCTTTTTTTTTTTTCCGCGCTGGTGGAGCTGTCATGGCGCCATGTGCTGTCAGTGTTGGTGTCAGCAAGTGGATCAGATCAGGTCGATGCTTGCTCTTTGCTTGGTAATCACGGCGTTAGGAAGGGATATAGCCGCATTGTATCGCGGGTTGGGACTTGCTTAATTTCTAATTCGAATGACAGCTGTCTAGACGAGACAGGGGGAGATTTCAGCAGGGAATTAGGGTTACGCCGAAGCATCCAGATGCGGTACTTGATCCGGAAGACACTTACTCACCGACAGCCGCGGCCCTCCAACGGCTCATCTCAGTCTGCACGCACGGCATCCTCCGGCTAGGAAATGGGTTCCGAACCGTGCAGAAGCACCATGCACAATGCCGTACAATTGTATAAGATAGCGGAAGTGTATGAGCAGGAATCTATTGGCGCAATCCTTCCTCCACGTGGGTGGTAGTGCCCCCCCCCCCCCCCCCTCGGCTATTGCCTGCTTCCCCCCCCAACCCGGGCGATGAATTCCCCACTTTCGAGACTATTGCAGCGACTCTAATCCCTTTCCATCCACGCCCGTTGTTGTTCAGCAATCTAGCAAGACCACTAAGCCTGGTGTAGCTTAGCAACACGAACTAGAACCGTTCTTCTGTGCTTCCGCCTTGCTTCTGCGCGGTGAGCCCGTTTTTTTTCTGCACGCATGCTGCGATTCTGCGTTCCTTCGTCTTCTCTCCTCCCCACTCCGATCAGGCACACCTGATTCATGCAGACGCCGCGCCTCCACTTTTTCTGGCTTGGTTGTTCCGCGGAGGGCCTGCATTGAATTTCTTCAGAGTCTGGCCTGATCACTTGGCTTGCAATTGAGTTCGGAGGCTATCGTTCCCCCAACGCCAGTTAGGCTGTAGCCTCGGTTTAAAAGCCTCGCCTTGTCCACCTTTTTTTTGTTGGTTCTCAGGATTGAATTCTCATCTCCTTTGTACCTTTCCCCTTCTTGCATCTTTTTTTTGTGAGGAGATTCACCATGAAGCTCACCACCGTCCTCCCGCTCGCCGGCCTCGCCGGCGCCAGCAACCTCACCAAGGGTTGCAACGTGCTGAACGGCGCCCTGGACGAGATCTACCTGCCCAGCACCACGGTGTACGAGTACGAGGCGCAGAACTTCTGGTCCAACACCGAGATCATGGCGCCCGGGTGCGTGTTCCGGCCGCAGTCGAGCGCGCAGCTGGCCCGGGGCATTGAGAAGCTGGTGGCGGCGCAGGCTGAGTTCGCTGTGCGGGGTGGTGGCCACATGGGCATTCGGGTATGGACCGTGACTCTACCTTCACCGTTATTCCACTCGCAGACAGAACCAAACCAAACCAAGGATAAGAGTGGACGCTAACGAATGATCGGCAGGGATCCAACAACATCGACAACGGGGTGCTGATCGTCATGTCCAACCTGACGACCCTGGAGTTGAACGCCGATCAGTCGCTGCTGCACATGGGTCCTGGCTTCCGGTTCGTTGCTTCGCTCTTCTTTCCTCCACCCCCTCCCTCTCTAAGAGGAGTGCTAACGTGCAAAACAGCTGGCAAGAGATCTACGACTACCTGGAACCCTACAACCTCACCGCCCCCGGCGGCCGCCTCGGCCCCGTCGGCGTGCCCGGTCTGCTCTTGGCCGGCGGCGTGAACTACTTCGGCAACCAGGTCGGCTTCTCCTGCGACTCGGTCGTCAACTACGAGGTCGTGCTGGCCAACGGCACCATCGTCGAGGCCAACGCCACCTCGCACGCGGACCTCTTCTGGGCGCTGAAGGGCGGTAGCAGCAACTTCGGTATTGTCACGCGCTTCGACATCGAGACCATCGCCTCCACCCAGGTGTGGGCGGGTACCTGGACTGTCGCGGAGGAGTATATCCCTGATTTCTTGGCGGTACGTTCTCCCTTGAGAGTGAATGAGTGGGATAGGGAGGGTGAAAGGGGATAGAGGGTTGGCTAACGACACGATCAGGCAACTGCTGCTTTCGCCGCCAACAACACCGACCCCAAGACCCACGTTGTGCCGGCAGTCGTCCCCTCCGAGGGCTCGGCCGTTGGCTCGGTCATTCTGTTCTACGACAGCCCCGACGTCAGCTACCCTGACGCTCTGAAGGTGTTCACGGATATCCCGGCTGTGTCCAACACGATGGCGTTCAAGACTGTGGCTGAGATGGCCGTGGAGATGGGTGCGGTTGTCACGCCGCATATCAAGTAAGCCAGCCCTGAGCCCCTAGCCCTTACCCTTAGCCTTCAACCAACCAGCCCCTTGCCATGTCCTTCTCACTCCCCTTGTGCCTGTGCCCGAGAAGCATCACCCCCCGCACAACACACTAACCCAAGAAAACAGTGACATCTTCGTGGCCGGCACCATCAAAGCCACCACCTACGAATCCCTCCTCGAAGGCGTGAACATCATCAACGCCACCTTCGCCGCCCAGCTGCCCAAGCTGTACGCCCAGATCCCGAGCGCCAACATCTCCATCATCGAGCTGGACTGGCAGCCCATCGGCGCCAACTGGATCGACGCCTCGACCGCCCGCGGCGGCAACGCGCTGGGCCTCGACGCCTCCCAGAACTACCTGTGCTACGCCGAGGTGGTCGAGTGGATCGGCAGCGAGTACGACACCATCGTCGGCGAGTGGGTCGTCGAGACCACCGAGTTGATCAACAATGCCACCGATGCCGCCGGGCTGTATGATCCCTTCAACTACATGGGTGACGCGGCGTGGTTCCAGGAGATTTACTCCGGGTATGGCAGTGAGAACCTGGCGAAGCTGCAGGAGATTGCGAGTGCTTATGATCCTGAGGGCGTCTTTCAGACGTTGATGCCGGGTGGATATAAGCTTTTCTAGGCCGGGTTCGGTCAGTGGGTTAGGGGGTGATCGTGACGATGATGCTGTCCAAAGGGGGTGGGGAATGGATGTGATATGTATGTATTAATGAATATGAATTCTCTTCGAGTCTACTACTTGTTCGTTACGGTGCGCGGGGTGAATCGGCACGAGGAGGTGTAGGAAGGCAAACATTATATATCGAAAGACACCCTAGCATACACACACCCCGCAACCCTAAGCCGTGCTCTTCCGCGACGCACACCGCGACGCCCCCACACTCCCCCCGGGCAACGGCCCCTGCACCTGCACGTAGTAATCGCACAGCCCCCCATGCTGCATCCGACGCCACTGCCCGATATCCCGCCGCTCGATCTGATGCTGATGGCGGTCCAGCGACGTGGTCGTGGGCACCCGCTTATGCCCCAGCCCCAGGTTGTACGGCCGGTACTCCGGGTCCTGTTGCAGCCGGTGGATGACGCTGGCGTGGATGCGCGCCCCGTCTGGCAGCGGCCGCCGCAGGCCCCCGACGTGCCACCGGGTTTGCTTCACGGAGCCGTCGCGGTTGACCTTGGGGCGTTTCATGGGCAGACACTCCAGCAGCCGCCAGAAGAGCGTCTCGACGCCTTTCCCGGAGTCGTACTCGAGGGAGTCGTGCAGCGGGGCGCGTTCGGCCATGTGCACGATCGCGGGGTCGAATTCCATCAGCTGTTGTTGTTGTTGCTGCTGCGGTTGCTGCTGCCGTGGCTTCGCGACGTCCTCCACCTCGATCAACCTCCCTTCCCCTTCCCCCTCCGATGACCCCGAGACTGAAGGAGAAACAGCAGGCACAAGATAACACCCCAGCTCCTGCAACTGCACCGGATCAAACGTCAACCCGACATGCGTGGCCTCCTGCACCATCCACATCAACGGAATCTGACTAACCGGCCACGCCCTGGCCCCTTCCCCGGAATAAGCTGGGGGATGCCCGCCACCGACATCACTATGATCCCCCGCGAAGTACACCTCCTCGAAATCCGTATCAAGCACGGGACTCAACGGCACGCCCCAGAACTGCTGCTCCGCGCGCTCGGCCCAGGTGCTCACGCGGCCCTTCTTGGCGTGCGCGCCGCGCAGCCGCTCGAACAGCACGGGCTGGAACTTGATACGCTTCTCGTCGATGCTCACCGCGTGCCGCATGTAGCGCGGGCGGGGCATCGTCTCCATGTCCTTGAGCACGTCCTTGTTGAACTCCGCGACGCTGTTGACCGTGTCGAACAGTCCCAGGAAGTGCACCAGGCCGACGGACCGGCACATCGTGTCCCGGCAGAGGCGGAGGAAGTTGTCCGCTTGCCGCGCTTCCCGCTCCCCGTGCGCGTATTTCCACGACAGGAAGGCTTGCCATACGAAGGGGATCAGTTCTTCGTTGTCGGCTGAGATCAGGCCCACGAAGTCGAGCATCTCGTTCAGGAAGCGGGCCGTGTAGGCCCCGCGCGAGAAGCCGAAGAGGTAGATGTGGGAGCCGGGCCGCCAGCGTCGTGCGAGGAAGCGGTAGCCGCCGATGACGTGTTGGTCGAAGGAGGTCGCGAGGGCTTGGTCGATGACTTTGCTGGCCGGCAGGTTGCTGAAGGGCCGGAAGGCGACGTTCGCGAATGTGCCGGGGGTGATGTCGGTGCCGATGCCGGCTGGGGAGGGTTAGTGTGTGTACGAGAGGGGATAAGGGGAGGGACGTACGTTGGTAGTAGCAGTCTTGAGGCGGGTTGGTTAGTATGTTTCGACAGAGAGTGATGGGGCAACGGCTTACATCGATTCTCTTTGCTGCGGTCCAGCATCCGAAAGATCTTGAGGATATTGCTCTCGCCTCCGTCCACCCGAAACGTGTTCCCGGTGCCATCGAAACAGAGCACCAGTTCTTGGGTGGGTTTGTTGTGCACCGGCGGCCGGTCGCAGTCGCATGGATCGTACGCCATGGTTTGGTTTGATTTGAGTGTGATTGAATTGGACGCTCTCCGAGGGAAGACCTGCGTGTTGGGAGTCCCTTATATCTTCTCCGAAAGCTGAATCGGGCACCCTGCCAATAGCCCTGCATCGTGGCTGACGGGCAGAGCCTGTATCCAGATGATCCCACCCATCCACAAATTGAGCACCGGAGAACAGGATTTGGTCAATCTCTCACACCAAAACGGACCAATCCATTGCGCCGCCCGGTAAGGGTGCAGCAACGGTGGACGCTGAGGACGCAAACTTCGCTGGCCGTCGATCCGGCCGCCCCCATCCATGCAGTGGCAGCCTTATGCATCTGACCCGGTACAGGGCTGACCATTGGCTCGCACCCTGGTTCAGGCCAACCAGCCAGGAACACTCAGCCTCCAGCGCAGTTTTGCTTACTGACTCTTGTTCGCTTTGCTTCGCCTTGTGGTGCGTCTCCTCGCACGCTGGGGCGATGAGCGTCCGTCTAGCAGAACGGGTGGGTGTTCTCCCCCTTCCAATCACCACCCAGCGATGTGACAGATCACCCAGCATGATGCCAGCCTGCATCGATAGACCCTCGATAATCTGCACCCTCGCTGCAGGCGACCCCATCCCGCTGCGCCAATCGGCAGGGCTGGCCATCGCCACGGGCACCGGCGGACGACCAACAAGGCAACTCGTGAATTGACCCGGTCGCGTTTCGCTACTCGTTGGCGGAGTCTTTTTCACAACTTATCTGACTCATTTGCGTCAATGAGAGGCTGCACTCACGTAAGATGGTCGAGTCAAAGCCACGCCTCGTGGTGATTTGTGCAGAGTTGGGGATGGCAAGTGACCGAGTCCATCGGAGGGATCCGACGCTGGCGGGGGCCGACGACGACCATATCTACTCGTGCCGGGGGTATTAGGGGCGTGCGCCAGATCGAAGCATTTCTCCCGTCGGTCGGTAGGCACTCGCCTCGTCGCAGCTCAACATATCTTCTTCATTCTGGTAGTAAGAAGCGAGCCGACGGGGTGTTAGCATGGTAGCAGGAGATAGACCCGGCAAAGAGAGGGGGGAAAGAACGAGGAATGCGTACCCAGAACACCGCTGGCCACAAAGAACGACTCGGGGGTAAGCGAGGGCAGCCTTTCTTGCTGATCGGGGAGAATACTCAGCCCAAGGTTGACACAATGACCCCTTCCATCCAAAGGATAGGACGATGGAACACAGCAGAATATGGTAGCTTCCCCCCTCGTAGCTCTCTATCCTATCGCCGGGACCGCGGATGCCCAGGTTTACCGCACTGGCACTTGGAGTTCGGATCACTGTGACATTGTGCCACACAACTTGATCTCGGGTTTCTCAGACCGTGGCCGTGAGACAATCGCTCTATTCTGGTCGTCAGTCATCACGATCTCAGTGACTTGGATACCCTCCTCGCTTGCCTTCTCGCAGGGTGATTCTCCCGCTCGTAGCTCTGCATGCTATCGCTGGGATTGTTGAGACCAGGTTTATAGACAATAGCTCTTGGTCCGACTGTCACAGCCAGGAAGGCCGCATTGGGTCAGAAGATACGCTCGCCGCCTGCCTGTGATTATTCGCAGTGTAGCAACCAGGCTTGTTACGGTCGCGTTGACAGAAAGTAGCCGATGGGATGCTGTTTGGAAGGTAAGAAGGGTGGCTGAGGAAGGAGGTGTAGCGGAGGAGAATTCCAGAGTCTATGAACAAACAGGAAAGGCCGGATAGCTTAACCTTCACTTTCATCAAGGTGATTAACCTCTTCTCTTCCATTCACTACAAGAACTACAACAATGGAAGGCGGTGGATACCCTCGTCCCTCATCCACGCACTGTTCAAGAAGTTATCGTGACCATAATATTATCCCTATTGAAACAGATCTATGTACAAATCCAAACTCCGATCTATGTGACTCCAAACCCAATCAAGTCCTGATACCACCACCCATGCTAACCATCCCACCGGATCCAATGCTAATACTGTTACATCATTAATGGTTTATTACATCTCGCATAAATTCATGATTCCGGCCGAGCAGGTGCCGTCTCCGGCTCACCCATCGGCTGCAGCTCAATCACCTCAGCCCCCTTCGCCTCCTCTCCGGTACGTTCGCCCCCTGCCGCAGGGGGTTTGTCCTCAACCACCAGCGGCTCCTCATCCACCGCGTACCGCAACCCCCCGTCGTCCTGCAGGAACGTCCGGAAGGCATACCGTTTGTTCAGCCGCGTGGTATGCTCCCGCCGCTGCGAGTTGGGCATCGCGTACGTGTTGGTGAAGTCGCCCAACATGCGACTATTGGCGATCCACGGGATGATCGCCCCAATCGACCGGGGCATGCGTGGGCCCCGGAACCGTCCCCGTCGTGTGCCAAAGACCACCAGTACCATCACCGTGTCCAAGGCGATGAGGATGAGCGCAATGGCTAGCGACGGCACGGACGGGACCATGGCCCACGTGTTCGAGATCACCGTCCCGTTGGCGGCGGGACGGAGCTCTTGCAATGGCAAGAGGTACATGTTTCGCCACACCGAGAAGTAGGTGGTGTATACCCATTGATACACTTCTTTGGAATGCTCCATCAAGGCCTCCACCTGTAGAGGTAGAACATGCGTCTGACTCTGTTTGTACAGCCGAGCCACCAAGAACCCGGCCCAATCGTACGAGGACACATAAGACCCGTTGTGCCCCGGTTCTTCCCCAACAAAGCTCTGCGGGATCGCCGCAAAGATCTTGTTGAACTGCCCCATGGCCGCGGTGGCGTTGTCGTACATGGCACCAGAAGTGACGGATGTCCCGTCAATCGGGTCGACATCGGATATTTGCCCGCGTTGGTCAAATGTCACGCTGAAATTTTGCATTTGCACCTTCGGCTCGCAGTGAAGAGCGATGGTGTTTTCGCTGGTGTAGGCTGACGCAGCGGTGTAGTTCCATCGGCCGACCACGATGAACGTCGACTCCTGACACTCGTCGCGGTCGGAAGAAGCCGAGGGCGAAAGAAAATGGATCGAAAGCGCAATGGCTTCGTGAGGTCGCGTCAAGCCAGTCATGTTCACCGTGCACTCTCGGCTCGCATTGTTGAAGGGATGATACATCCAATACTGGGTGTGGCCGGTCTGGTGCATGCTCTCCTTGACGTTCAGAGAGACGCAATCGAGTTCGGCGCCAATTCCAAGCGTCGTAGCGCCATACATCACATCGGGATTGGGATCAGTGTTCCGGATCGGGAGGAAGGTGTAATTGGCCGCCATCCACGACAATAACGGGACGCCGCTAGAGACACTGGTCTGAATCAGGTCGAACTCGGTGAAGTCGGCTGAGAAGTCGGTTTGTCGAAAGTGCGACTGGCTATAGTTGGCATACAACGATTTGGAGGGAAGGAACGAGGTGGTGAGTTCTTGATTGAAAAGCCCACCGGCGACCACGGTCAAGACCACATTGGCAATGCACGTGAAGGACACCAATCCCAGAAGAACATGGCGATCCTGGATGGCTTTCAGGAACACGGCCCAAGGGTTCTGAGATCCGTAATTCAACGACAACGATGACTGGGCCGTGGCCATGCCGCGTTGAAGATGGACCCAGGGTTCCAGAATGCTGATGTTACGCAGAATGGAATTGCAAAGGGCACCGACCGAGGAGGCAACCACCGACGGTAGAAACGAAAGGACGACTTGCAGGAAGCTTGAGCCAGACTGGGTCAGATGCTGGAAGCTGCCGTCATGCGCCAAGGACGCAACCGTCAGTCCCATGATGGTGATGATCGCGGCTAGAAACAGGAATTCCACAATGAAGATCGGGACGACGAGGAAGTGGGGCATGGGGTCGACGCGCGTCCGGGTTTGGTAAGGCAATATCACTGGTGAGCCTGCACGGGAGTCAGCAAAGTACTATCTGTATTCGGATTCGGGGCAGCCTACCGTCCGCCGAGACAATTCCTAGACGTGGACCTTCCGGACCCTGCTGCCATTGGAGGCGACAGGTGTTGAGAATCTGGCGTAATTGGCGCGTAGAGAACTGATGGAACTCCGTCTGAGGATCAGCCAAGATGTTGGTCGGCCCAAACACATCGGTCAGCATACTGCACATGGCCCCAATGGAGCCGGGATCACTCTGCAGGATATTCGGCCGGGATTGATAGAAATAGATCAAGCAGACGGCGAGCACGATTCCACAGGCCAGTAATATCTCCGAGCACCAAGCAGCGAAAGTGACCACCGATATCGTGACCTGGGTTGAGAATCGCAAGGCGGGCACGCTGGTCGGTTCCTGGTCGGGGTTGAAGAGCCGAGCGAAGGTGAGCACAAACGTCTGCACTACGCCTCGGGTCACTTTGGATTCGAACTCGTCGGGAGTCATCACGGTCGATGCATCCAACACCAGCAGCGGTTCCAAGTCCCGCACGTTTTGACTGATCACGGGTAGTTCCGTCACGGTTGTGTCGCCGCTCGTCTGATTATTGTCGATGAAGAGCATGTCTCCCGTGTACGGGGCACGCTGGGCCAGCAGTCCTTGGAAAGCGTTGATATTGAATAATTGGTCGGACAAGGCGGTTTCGGTGTCGGCAAAGACGGTGACATTGGTGATCGAACTGTTCGCGTGCATACTGAGTCGCGCGGTCGCTTGGCGGTAATCGATCTTGCAGGCGAATATCGTTGCTGTAGAGGTGAAATCGGAACCCATGGCGCTGATGCTGTAAGCGCCGACCTCGGTGGCATTGACTGAGAGAACGATGCCATACAGGTCGTAGGGGTTGTCGCAACCACGGGCAGTGAATGCGGAACTCATATCCGCCGAGTGGTGTGACCGGTTGGGCCAGACAGGCTCCCAGTACCGAATCTGCAGGTAATCGGTGTTGTCGAAGTAGATATTCTTGTAGTGGAAGTCCAAGATGCAGCCGTTGTCGGTCCCGTTGATATCCGGCAGTTTGACATCGGTCACGTTCCACGAGACAGCCGGTGGGTAGGTCGAGTTGTCGTTCACGGACACGGACAGGTGGTTGTCAATCATGACATCGCGACAGGATAGCTGCGCCCAGTAGATGGTCTCGTTCAAGGTCCATACGGTATTCTCCTGCCGATCTGCGAGGCTGATTTCGACGGGGGCCACGGCGTAATTCGACGAGCTGGAATCGCGCAGTTGTGTGTTGGTGGTCAGAACGGAGGCGAGGGTGGTGTTCGGGCTGCTTTCCTGCGAGAACATCCACTCGGCCTGATGGTCGAGATCCAACAACTGGGGCCAGGTTTTCATGTCGTCATCGTCGAGCATGTTGATCTCACGGAGTTCAAGGAGAGTACTCTGCAAGGCGGGAAGGAACATGCGAATGAGCACGGTGGTGACGGAAACCAGCAGGACGATCCAATGGCGGCGCCGGGCCGACGTAAGAGGTGTGAGGAACGACTGGCCGAAGTTGTAGTTGATGAAGAGAACCGACGCGGGGGCACCCTCCGGTCGAGCGATCTGGAAGTAGGGCTCCAAGCGCAACACATCGTAGTCAATAAAGGTCCAGAGGGTCACGAGGGCCAAGGCGGCGATGATGGGCAGGTAGTTGTAGGCGAATGACTGCAGGCTGGAGACATTGTCGGTGTCGGAGAAGAAGACCAATCCTCCATATTGTTCACAATAGCGCCGCAGAACCTCCAACGTTATCAACGAAGCGAACATCACGGCGGTGATCAGGGTGAGAAACATGGGGCGCAGGGCCATGGGCCGCCATGCCCCCAGCGGGGTGGTTGGCGGGAGCGGTTGTCCATCGGGCGAGGTTTGGCGCGATCGGAGGAAGGGCGGGAGACGATGACGGTCTGCAGGCGAGATTTAGCGATAAGCGACCATCGAGGTGAGGTTTCCGAGGAGCAGCACATACTGATGACGGGCAGCCAGAAATGATAGAGTTTCTTTTCCAGGCGCCTGAACATACTTGGGGAGGCAGGCTCTGGAGAAGGCCGGGGCGAGGGCGATGGGGATGGGGGGAAGGGCGGCGGACGGTCATGGCCCGACGGAAGATTGTTGTTCATGGACGACACGACAGAAGCTGACGAAGCCAAGAGACAAGATCATCGCTGACGGTGGGTGGGGGAGGTGGCGGACGAAAATCGCATGACGGGCGGACGGAACGATCACCGTGCAGGCGATAGCGAGATAGATAGATAGATAGATAGATAGATAGATAGATAGATAGATAGATAGATAGATAGATAGTAGAGGAAGATTGGGAGAAGGAAAGGAACGGAAGGGAGGAGGAGGAGGAGGAGGAGGAGGAGGCGGAGGCGGAGGCGGCGGAAGACGAAGACAACGGATTGAAAGAACAGTACAAGGATGCGGAAGAGAAAAGAGTGTGTGAGGGGGGGAGGGAAGGGAGGCAGGGGAAGAGGTGGAATGTGCAGGAGAGAGAGAAGGACAGTGAATGAGCAAGTGAGTGTGAGCGAGTGAGAGTTGAGAGGTGAGAGTGGAAGAGATGGAGAGATGGAGGGATGGAGGGATGGATGGAGTAAGAGAGGATGACGATCGAGGTGCAATTCCTGATTTACCAAGAATGCTGGAAGGAAGGGCGGCCTCAGGTTACTCGTCCTCAAAGGGTTAGATCGCGCGGCAACACACAGCCAGCAGCCAATGAGACTGTCAGGGACTCTTGAGAAAGAGCGGAAAGGGTCAGGCACTAAACCCAATTGATCTCTCCCGGGCGCGACCCGTGACTCGAGTGACTTTCGGCCTCCCCATTAGGACTAGCCCGGAGTCAGTTCTAAGCCTCCAGCTTCCAAGTTGAGGAATTTACCTACTACGCCAAGGATCCATGATGATAGGAAAAGCATTAGTATCATCACGGTTACATACTGCTACTACTGCTGAACTCACCCACATAAATGAAAGTGAACTCTTCAATTGACACCCCTCGCATTGGTCGCGTTGTGTGTCGCCGCTCACCCAGGCTGGTTTTGAACTCCTGTTTGTCTTGGCCCAGCTCAGCCACATCACCACCGCAGATATACGTTTCGAAGCCCCGCTTCCACAGTCCTGAGCAATAGTCTTGGCAAATAGATGGCTGCAGTGGCTTCACAATGGATGCGTCTGGCCGCATCGTCCGACTCCATCCCAAAGTGCAGTTTGTGGCGTGGTTTGGGCACCGTAAGTGGCGTGAGCTAGTCTGGTAGTCCAGTGAGAAAGTCTGCCGGTGGTTTCAGACTGGTGTTTTGCTTCTTTGCGGGAGCGCATTGCTGTTGACAAGTCGGAGACAAGAGACAGCCAGACTGCGCGTTTGTGATAGCAGCCCCTCATCGGCGGGGAGCTGGACCAACTGATTGCTATGGCTTGCCAAGAGCCACCCCCAGAGCGACATGTGATCCATCACTTGACGGATTGACATTCGGACTATCCGGGGTGCTCGCCTGGCGCGGTCGGTTAGGGTCATCAACAAGGAATCCAGATTTCATGAGGACACTATGGTTGTAGATCCGTCAGAAAATAGCACCACCCGTCCAGTAAAATCCATTCAGGACATAAATACGCTGGCGGTCAAGACAAGCTCTGCGACCGAAGGGTGGTGCTGTCAGCAGCCCGACCAGCCACTGACAGCACTCGCCCGGAGCTTATGCCGGTCGGTGAAAAGAGCAAAGCTCCTTTGCTAGACTATATGCACCTATGCACCACTTCACAGGTCCAAGCGATGCATGGCTACTGGGTGCCGTATCGAGTCCCAAGACGTCGCTGCTCCCCCATCCCTCCACCGAGCCATGTGATCTGGCGCGTGTCTGTGAAGCTGGCCGGCTGTCGGCAAGACACGTTGCGAGAGAGAGGTGCGGTGGTGCAGCAGCAGGAGAAGGGTGAGACTACGTATGCCCAGCATCTCCCCCAGCCGGTTTACCGGGTTGCTGCAGTGATGTGCAACGTGACTGCCCTTTGGAGTTGGGGTCGGATGTTATTGCAATCAGTACTCCGTAGCGATAATGGGAAGCTCGACTGGACGGGGTAATGAGCTGCTGTGATCGACTTCTCACTGATCACTTCTATCAACTAATATGCAGATACCCAGTCATTCACCAGTGTCAGTGTCAGTGTCAGTGGTCACTTGGTAGGGACTTAATGCGGGGAAGAAGGATCCATACTGTAGTAAAAGTCGGTCGGCTGGGGCCGTCTTGCCCCGATCGGGCGTGAGCCTTCAGCCATCCGCCGACCCAAAGCTTGCATAAGCGATTAAGCATTGGGCGCTGTCCCCGCTTGCCCGCTATGGAGCAAGCAAGAGTGGACCGACCCATCATCGTAGTGCAATGCAGCAGTCAATGCGGTCCCTCCTCTTTCCCATGTTTCCTAGAAAAGACACACGTCCAAAATCCGGGGAAGATCTCCTTCTATACTCACCGGTTTCTTCGGGGATTTCTCAGACGATGGTGGTCTGTTTCAGCTGGTTGTACGGTTCGATCCCTCTACCGGGGGTGCCACCAGCTGCTTAGGGTTTCACACCAGAATCCTCCCCGATACTGCCATCATCCCAGTCACTGGACAGTACTGTCCGGTACACTTTCCAGCTCCAGCCTAATCTGGTCCTGTTCAAGGCTAGCTGCTTCCCCCGGACCAGGATTCCGATCCCTCTTCACTATCGCTCTCAAACGCTCGTCACCGCAGAGGACTGGGGACCCAATCAGCCCACGGACAGGCGATGGGACCGTAGCGCTGTAGAAAGTTCCTGGGGCGTGGCACGATGGCCTGAAACTTTCCGGGCTGCGGGGTTTCAAGGTTGGTAGCAGATGTGTGAATCCTGGGGAAGGAAGAGGTGAGGAAGAAGGGAGGAGTGAATGACGGGCACCTGACAGTCAGACACTATTTGAAGGGAGCTGAGCCCATGGCTTCCCTCTTGGTCCCTTGGTCTTCTTTCTTGTCTCCCTCGTGTTTCCACCTTTTCTTTCTACACGGTCACTCCCTCAACACCCACCCATCATGCTGGTTGGCAACATCTACGTGATTGCGGGTGTCTCCGTCGTTGGTGGCGCCCTCTTTGGCTTCGATATCTCGTCCTTGTCCGCCCAACTCAATGAGAACGCCTACAAATGCTACTTCAACCAGGGTCCGCAGGGACCTCCCTTCACGGACGATGAGGACTGTTCGGGTCCGACCTCTCTGAACCAAGGTGGCATCACTGCTGCCATGGCAGCTGGCTCGTGGCTGGGCGCCTTGATCTCCGGTCCGCTTTCCGATCGGATTGGGCGAAAGACCTCCATCATGGTTGGCTGTGTTATCTGGTGAGTGTGTGCTTTCCGGTAGGATATCATGATTCCCTTCACACTAATCAAAAGTCAATGGTCTGCAGGTTGATCGGATCAATTATCATCTGTGCGTCCCAGAACATCGGCATGCTGGTGGTGGGTCGTATCATCAACGGCTTGTCGGTCGGGATCGAATCGGCACAGGTTCCGGTCTACATCAGCGAACTATCTCCCCCCTCGAAGCGTGGTCGGTTCGTCGGCATGCAACAGTGGGCCATCACATGGGGGATCTTGATAATGTTCTAGTAAGGCCCGCGACTCTCACTCAGCAGCCCTTTGCTTCGGATCTGTCGCTCACAGAAGTGTTAGTATCTCGTACGGATGCTCCTACATCGGTGGACAGAAGTCCTACAACTACAGCACCGCCTCGTGGCGTGTTCCGTGGGGTCTGCAGATGCTCCCGGCCGTGTTCTTGCTCGGAGGGATGCTGCTGCTGCCCGAGTCCCCTCGCTGGCTGGCACGAAAAGACCGGTGGGAGGAATGCCATCGCGTCCTGGCGCTGGTTCATGCCAAAGGCGACTTGCATCATCCTTTCGTCGCCCTGGAGATGCAGGACATTCGCGACATGTGTGAGCTCGAGCGACAGTACAAAAACGTCACCTATTTGGATTTATTCAAGCCGCAAATGCTGAACCGGACCCTGATCGGCTTGTTCACGCAGATCTGGTCGCAGCTAACGGGCATGAACGTGATGAGTATGTATGACCTCGTGATGGCAGTCTGCCTTGGCTGATCGTGTCAATAGTGTATTACATCACCTATCTCTTCTCCATGGCCGGATACACGGGCAATTCGACTCTGCTGGCCTCGTCCATTCAGTACATCATCAACGTGCTGATGACTCTCCCAGCTCTGATCTGGATGGACCGTTGGGGTCGAAGACTTCCCTTACTGGTGGGGTCGGCTTTGATGGCGATCTGGATGTATACAAATGCGGGTATTATGGCCGTGCATGGGGAGGTGGTTCCGGGTGGGATTGACGGTGTTGCGGCGGAATCGATGCGTCTACACGGGGCGGCGGCCAGAGGATTGATCGCCTGCACCTACTTGTTCGTTGGTACGTACGAGGATTTACTATTCCTGCCATGCTCAACCCCACGTGATGGATCTGATCTACTCTAACACCCCCGTCTCCGTTAGCTTCATACGCCCCCACCCTTGGCCCCGTTTCGTGGACGTACCCGCCCGAGCTCTTCCCGCTCCGTCTCCGTGGAAAAGGTGTCGCTCTCTCCACCTCGGGTAACTGGGCGTTCAACACCGCGCTGGGACTGTTCACCCCGACTGCCTTTGCCAATATCCGCTGGAAGACGTACATCATCTTTGGCGTCTTCAACACTGCCATGTTCATCCACTTCTACTTCATTTTCCCCGAGACCGCCGGAAAGACCCTGGAAGAAACGGAGGCCATGTTTGAAGACCCCAATGGCATCAAGTATCTCGGGACTCCAGCCTGGAAGACCAGAGTCAAGACCAGTGCGGTCCAGGAGATGGAGCGCGGCCATGTGGATTTGGAGTCGAAGATTGCGCCGGGCCACTCTCACACCGAGCACACCGAGACGGTCTCAGCTGGTGAAAAGCGGGCGGAGGAGCGAGCGGAGGTTTGAACGCGACATAGCAGGACTGACCTGATATGGACAGTGGGTACCGATATTTGAAGGGGATGACAGGCTGGCTAGAATCTTGTGACTAGTCCAGGACCATTGAATTTCAGCTCTTGTTGTAGCATGGCTGACAACCTTGCCGATATTGCCGTAATTTCTATGAATGAAGCCGGCCGTGCGTGCTCGTGACTTATGAGCCAGTTGATACTACGTACCGCCACAGAAGATGTATCTCTTTTGAAGATGAACTTCTTTCTCCTTGTACTTTGGATAGTATTTGCTATAGATCCCGATCTGTTTGATCAACTTAACCTCATGTGTCTGATGATATATGCTATGCAATATGCTATGCCATGCTATATGCTATGCAACATTCTGATGAAACATGCAAAGGCTTTGCCAAAAGCAACGCCATCCTCCGCTACACCTCACAAGGAAATGCAACGCGCGCGAGCAGGTGTTCTCGTCCCGCGAGTCCACCTCCGTTCTCTCCTTACCAACTCCCACCCCATCAATCACGAATTGCCTCTCGCAGCAGCAGCCTCATACAGCCCTTGAATATCATCCCGCCATTGCCGCTCGTCGACGCGCTTCACGCGGCGATCGTAGGTCATCAGCCCGTTGACCTCGCCCTCGACGTCCGTCGTCTGCGTCCACACGCCCGCGCTGCACGCGTACCGGCGGACCTGGTCCTGCAGCTCGGTCAGCAGCACATGGCTGCGGTAGTTCCAGGCGGCGAGGTCGAGGTCCATCTCGTAGGTTTGGTTGATTGCTTGGATTGCGGTGGGGTTGTTCCAGAGGCTATCGCTGGTTAGTTGGATGGGATTCTGGGGATGTCTGTGCAGTTGGGAAGGGGGATGTGGAGTGCTGGGTGGGAACGGATGGGTGGTTGGGAAGATGGGGAGAAGGGAAAGGAAAGCGTACTGCTCGATCGAGACGTTGTGTCCCAGGCCGCCGAATTCGCCCTGAATCGCGATCCGGGTGGGGTCGTAGGGTGTCGAGTCGATGGAGTAGAACGGGGTGCCGCATTGGGGGTTCGCGTAGTGGTGGTTGTCCTTCCCATGAAGCCATGTCAGCGCGATTGCTCTGGTGGGAAAGAATGGAAAAGTAGGGCAAACGTACGTGGAAATCCCCGGCGCCGTGATCATGCCATCCCGAGGTGGAATCGACCAGCCGCGTCGGATCGAGTTGTTTGACGCGCTCTGTCAGCGGGAATTCCGGGTAGTACGAGGTGATCTGTCCCCAGCCTTCGTTGTAGATCACCCAGGCGAAGATGCTGGGGTAGCTCTTCAGCTGCTGGATCATCAGCTCGAGCTGGCGGCCGAATTCCTGCTGCTGGGCTTCGTTCGGGAGGATCGTCGCGCCGCTGGCGTCGTTCTCGAGCGGGCGGAGCGACGGCATGTCTTGGATGACTAGGAGGCCGAGCTCGTCGCAGGCGCGGTAGTACAGGGCTGGTTCGAGTTTGATCTGTTGCGATTAGTGTCTGGTTGAGGGGCTGGGTGGGTAGGGGTAGGCTCACGTGTTTGCGGACCATGTTGAAGCCCAGATCCTTCAGCACGCGCAGGTCGTACTCCATGGCTTCGCGGTTCGGCGGCGTGTACAGCCCGTCGGGCCAGTAGCCCTGGTCCAGCGTGCCAAATAGAAATGTGAAGTTGCCGTTCACCAACGGCCGCTCGATGCCGTCGACCTCGCCCCGCGAGATGGTCCGGAAACCCAGGTAGCTTGCGACTGTGTCCTCGCCTAGGGCCACGGTCACGTTGTAGAGGTTGGGCGAGTCGGGAGACCAGAGCTTGGGGTTGGTGACGTTGAATTGGAACGGCTGGTCGGAGGTGCCGTTGCTGGACCCGATCTCCGAGTCGCCCTCGTGGATGGCGATGTGCACGGAGGTGCTGTTGCCGGTGGCGCTGTGGACGGTGACGTTGACTGGTTGGGTGGTTAGTGTACGGTGGATGAAGTAGGGTTTGTAGGGCAGACAGCCGCTTACCTTGTCCGTGCATGTCGCCGCTCAAGTCCAGCTGCGTGATGTAGTTGGCAGGCGCGGACTCGATCCAGACGCTCTGCCAGATTCCACTGCAGGGGGTGTAGAAGATGTGACTGGGGACGAGGTGCTGTTTGCCGACAGGGATCACGTAGTCGTTGCTGTCGGTCGGATCGTGGACGTAGACCAGGCTGTAGGCATTCTGTTAGCTGGGGCAGGTCGCGGGCTGCAGCTGCGATCTACGTACAGCTCATTGTTCGTCGTCGCATTGACAAACGGGGTGATGTCCACTGTGAATTCGAAGTAACCTCCACGGTTGAAACCTGCTTGCTGTCCGTTCACAAAGACAGTCGCTTCGTAGTCTACGGCCCCGAAGTTCAACAACACGTTCTGCCCGCTCCATGAGCTTGGGACGGTGAAGTTGGTGCGAAACCAAGAGTAGAATGCCGACTTTGCTTGGATGCCTACAACAATCGAATCAGCTTCTGTGCTCCGAAGATGAATTGCTAAACCTACCCGACAATCCGCTCTCGAGACAAGACGGAATCAACACTTCCTGAGCAAGCGCCTGGCCGAATGGCGGACTGTGCACCGCATCCAGACTCGTTGCAGCCTGGTACTGCCAGATGCCATTCAGATTCTTCCAGTCCGACCGCTGTCTTTGCGGTCGAGGATACTCAGGCCAGGGGTTGGTGCCCACTTGGTCTGTCCAATTCGTCGTCAACGGCGGCTGCTTCACCGCATACTTGGTCGTCTGTCGCGTGGAAAGGTGCTGGATGCTTCCGATACTCCGTGCCAGAGACTCGGAAGCTAGAAGAGGAATAAGCCAGGTGGAAACCCAATGCATGCCGGCCGTTAATGTCTAGTACACAAAGAATGCGATCAAGGTGCAGCAAAGTATCCTCCCCAGGACATGAACCCACCCTAGGGTATTTATCCTCTTCGACTGTCTACGTGGGATTCATGCTGGAGGCAAAGCAGCAAGTGCCGAAAGGGCCTGAGCCAGCAGACACTATACCATGTCATCGCTCTTGCGACCCACTCTGGCCAGCATGATTGTCATGGCAGCCCCACGATCAGAGGGGCCACAGAAGCCCTGACATTGAGCACTCGCCGGACACACAGGAGTAGGGTCTTGGAGTGCTCCACCGGTCATGACTTGATCGCTTGGCAGCCCAGTGTCGTGGTGCGAGGTGGACTCGGCGAGATGCCCTCCAGGCTGCATGATGAACCGGCCCAAATAGTTGACAGACATGTCGCGTCGATGTCCAAGTCGACTGGATCGCCACCTGCCATTTTGAGGACTTCGAAGCCGTACTCTTCTCTCCAGTCTCCAATTATCTTTCTCCACCGATGGATGACTCTTGGTGAGAGACTCTGACGGTCAAAATCGCTGCATCGGGCCCTGAGTGCTGACTCAGCCGAGTCGTCCAATGAGCTTTACGGATCACGAAGCAGGTTTGGCTCGGATGGGGTCTTTGGACTCAGGGCTGGGGGGCTGCATGACCGGATTGCCAATCACTGATCTCATCCTTTCATATCTCAAGTTTGGGTGCAGTAAATTTGCCTTCTGACCCCTTTCTGGGTTCCCTGGTGTTGGGCACTTTCTACTGCGTACCTGCACCCCTGTATGTTCGTCCCCTTGTCCATGGTTTATTCTTCCCCGCAGATTCCAGTCCGTCGCCCTTGCCTTTGGTTTCTGTACAAATGCTGACTCGCAAAGTAACGTGGCCAGCGATTTCTCCTATCAAAGTTCTACCCCGCATGTCGCAGGAATGCTGCCTAGCATGGGCTTCAGGACGAAAGCCTCACCGAGACTACGAAAAGTGGGACTCAAGGGAATACTGCATCATTGCATCAGCCAAGATCCCGAGCGATGATTTCATTCGGTTCGGGTTCAGAGGGATTGCTCGGCCATGCACCGGCCTTGTTATGGCCCTGTTATTCAGCCCTGCCAAGGTGCATGTCAGTGATACACCATGTGAGGTGGCTCAGATTGATGTGATTGTGTTGTTCTCATTCATGCATACATCACATATTCTGGTCTCCGGTCTCGACCCCGAGACTGTTGTGGGGTGACGTGACCGGCAGGTCATGGCTCCCTTGGTCGCAAAAACAGATGATAGTCTGGAAATCGAGGGTCGATCGATTAATGGGCCGCTGTCTGTTGGCTGTCATTCCATTTGTTGGGTTCCGATGGATGCAATGCGGATGGGGGCTGCTAGGGTCGGTGGTGATCACGGGATGGAGACCGGAGGACTCGGAAAAGTCCCTGACTCCATGCAAGTACAAGGACAATGTCAATTTGCACTTGATCATTGCGATACGCCCGAACTCAAATATTCGATACTGCTTGCCATGTATTGCAAGATCTTAATGCCGCCCAACGGTTACTGGAAAACCAGTCGCGGTCTCAATTTCAGGCGTGGCGTCTCACCCCACATCTCCCCGGGATTGAGTATTGTCCGCCGTCGGGAACGCCACCAGGTCCTGCATTCAGTGGCAATGAATCTAGTCAATCGAAAAGGTATGCACTGACCACTCTCGGACTCATGATTGATGGTTCCTGTCGGTCGGTCGGTCGGTCGCCGAGACGGGGTGTTTGAATCCCAAAGAGGCCCCATCACCGCCGGTATGGGGTTCGGCTCGGGGTGATCCGAAATGGGCAGGCAGCCATGGAATCTCAAATGTTGGATCTCCTCTGTCGCGACTTTTGACATGAGGTCCACCATTCTACCTTTTTCTTTAGTGGGTCATTCGCTGTCATGCCGGTCGCCGACGCAGGTGTCAACTTCTCCCAGGAAATGTGCAGCCATGGCTTCTCAGATAATGGATTTCGCGGGTGTCTCCAGTTTTGGAACGCAGTCCACCATTCCACGGCCGTCTTTTGCACTGGCTGGTTGGTCATTCACCTTTGTCGATCACATTGCCCGGCGTATATTTCGGTATCTTTCTTCTGTCGACAGTCGGCATTAGCCACGTCCCGACAGCGCCGATTCTCGATTAATCCGAAAGGCTTGGTCGGCCTCTATCTTGGTCGCGTCCTGCTTATCATCAGTATGCCAGAGCTCCGCATCCACCCATGATCCAGATTATTCCCTAAAGGCTCAAACTCGAGAGGTTGCTTTCCATAAGACAAACCGCGTGGTGGATATCACCTTGTAGCTTGTCGCGTTAGGCGGGTGTGATCTTCTGATGGAGAATCGACGCACTATACTGGGGATCGGTCGGACGAAAGACTCCTAACTTGCAGGCGCAATCTATCCCAGTGGTTGTCAGCACCAGGGATAAACAAGATGGAAAATTGCCGTTGAGGACCTCTATGACCATACTTTGGAGTGCACTTGACGTTGATGAATTGCGGTGACAGAAAGGAACACTGCAACCCATCTCCCAGAGCATAGCACTGAACGCCACGGCTAGGGCCATGCCCCAGCATTTCATGCCAGCTGTGCGTGAGACCAAGCGTCGCGTGAGTTGGCCTCCCGGAAGCGGCAACCAGTCGTCAGGACTCATAGCTTTTCTACGTCGTTCAGCGATTGATCCAGCTACTTTCAAGGGTCACAATGGTTAGCGGTAGTGCAGCTAGCGAACGGCTAGCACTGCATTATTGCAAAATTGGGATTTCCGTCACTTGTGTCGCACTAGGCACGTATTTTCAAGTTGTCTGACAGACAGAGATAGAGAATCATCATCTAGTGCGGGTCGGACGGCTCGTCCGTACCTAGTAGCACATAAACACGAGGATCGATTGAGACTTCATATGAGACATCCGAGGAGTTGAGACGGACGCAGTACCCATCTTCACTTTCGCAAGATGCGGAAGGAAGCCGAGGTTGTCCGGCTGCAACAGGGCAGTCTAAGTAATTGTGATCCCTCAATCTTCATCTTAACTTGATCGTATGTACTCCGTAGTACCAGATCGGTTGAGGTAGCGTATCGTGCGAGGTCATAAAGCCAGACAAAATCTTCAGCTGCTTGGCTACGCCGAGACGGCTCGCTTTCTATCGGGGATATCCTTGCCGACGGTGGCCAAGATCACCAATCCGGGCAAAATAAGCACGCGATGATCTTTGACAACTCCTAGACCCATGGGTCGGCACACGGATATCCCGAACAAGTGTGTTTGTGTTAGCATCATAGTGGATAATGAAGGAGGAGCTGAGGATACAAGGGCCATAGCGCGGACATGAGACAACTGGCAAACACCGGTTCAGCAAGCCAGATCTTCTTGCCCCGAGTCATTCGGCATTCAGCCCCCCCTGAGAAAAAACAACAAGACAACAGGTGTTTGCTGTAGGTCCTAAGCCAAAAATAATTGGTCGGCTATTATCTCCCCTGTGATCAACCCGCAGGTCACATGCGGTCAGCACAAAATTGCACTGGGCATTAGCCTCTACGGGCTTGATCGGCCCCGAGCCCTAGTCCGCCACTGGCCTGCAGCACGTGGTGATCGCTTCGAATTTCCATCTCATCGGTTTGATATGCCTGCCCGATACTGTCTGCACCGTGTTGATAACGCTTTGACAAGCTTCGGTGGCAAATTGTGGATCTTCGATCCAGACTGCTCTGCACCAGGGAGAGGAGAGGCTCTACCCTGGATTATACTGTCAATATCAGGTCCGGAAAGGATGAGATCGCGTCTCGGCCAGTTGTTTGCGTATCTTTCCACAAGGTCGAAAGACACATCCTGCTGGGTAGAGCAAGCAGGCAACTGAGCGGAATGACTGAAGGGCATCTGCACCCCCTGACCTCTGTGCTCAAACTAGTCCGACCCGACTAACCCGGACCGGGGTGGCTTGCCATGCTCTGCATTGAGGCAGGGCATGATAGCCGATGGACTCTGCCAGGACTTCAGCTATTATCTCACACATCACAGGAATGACAGCTAGCCTCACTTATCCACACTCACTGATTCAGCTTTCAGCGTTGAACACATCGCAAACCTAGACTGCAGAAACCAAAGCCACCGGACATCGGCGACTCCGCCACCTCGTAGTCGGCTTCTCTGTGTAACATGTTCGACCAGTATTTAGGCCATGCGATCCCTCTGTAACTCTCAGCAGCCGATCAGCAGATCCAGACGCTAGGCATCACTCCGATTCCCTTGTATCTTTCCAGATAAGCATAATGACACCTCAACCACTGCGACCGATCTCCTACCGGAATGATCCTCTGGGTGCGATCAGTTGTCCTGCCTCAGTTCATTCTGAGTACGACTTTCTGTCGACCGGCATCCCGAACGAAAACGAGCAAAGACCAAACTCCGTCACAATTGACCCGGTCGCATTACACCTCCCTTGGAGAAGCTCCTTCCCTGCGGCGCGGCAGTGCAGATTCTGGAGCGAGGCCGAGGATGCCGGAAAGACACTTCTCCAACAGATCAAGCGGATTAACCGTGCGAATAGTACGAAGGGCAGATCCATTAAGCCCGAGACGGATGACGCGGAGATAGCGCTCTCGAACAAGGAGGTGGAGCGGATCGTGAACGCGTCGAGTGCGGCCGTGTATATGAACCCTAACTGCTCTTCCGAAGAGATCGAGATTATCTCGCAGCTCAACCTGATACTCTGGATTCATGATGGTATGGCTCGCGGTACATCTTTTGGCACAGACTTTAGCTGCTGACATCCTGTCTGGCAGATATCCTGGAGTCGTCAGATTCACCGCACGAGGTAATTTTGCAAACACTGCATGCGACGGAGGAGGCTAACACCCGATATCAGAGTGCAACAATCATCGAGAAAGTGACAGCGAGCTGGGCCGATATTCTTGCTCATCCACTCAAAGACGCTGCAGACTCCTCCGATATGTTTATTCGCCTAGCTCAACAGATGCTGCGCATTAGTGGTCAGGGAGAAGGGCTTATTCGGGGATATCTAACGTGGATGGCGTTCATGCGGTCGACAATGCGAGACCAGTTCACTTCCCTCAGAGATTATCTTGACTACCGGGCAGTTGATATCGGACGAGAGTAAGTGACTCGTATCCTCACGTCGCGTTCGGAAATCGATAGCTAACTTCATTCTCTCCGCCCAGCTATATCCTGGCCGCCGTGAAGTTCGGTAACGAAATCCACCTCTCACCAGCTGAGGAGACACCGCTAGCCCCGTTAATCGGCTTGGCCATGGATCACATCATTATGACCAACGACCTGTTCTCCTACGACAAGGAGCGACGTGACTCCGAGACGTGTGCGAACGCGGTGCGATATCTGGAGCAGGTCCTCGCCATTGACGCGCGTTCCGCTAAGATCGTCATCAGCAGCCTTCTCACGCAGACAGAAGGTCAAATGCATGCAGAGCTGGAGAGTTTGCGTCGCTCGGATGCGCTGAGTGAGGCGCAGCTCCGGTACGCACGGGGAGTGATCGAAGCCGCGGCGGGCAACGTGGTTTTCTCCATTACCACGCGAAGATACAACCCTATCGGGGCTGGCCAGGCTGGTGGGACGAAAGGTTGAGAGTCGAGGGGGGTTGTTACATAGAAGATCATTGAACATGATATCAATAGACCATCATTCATTGTTATATCCGTGTACGGATGGAACTGGCGGGAACGGGGATAGCGGGCTGGCTCGCAACATTCCCAAAACTAGCCAGTTATGCTGGTTATACACGTATACATGGGGTGAGGTTTGTCGTGAGACTTAGAAAACGTCGAATTTGTCAAATTCTGTTACCAAGGATGATTGAACTTGCAGTATACTATCCCTGCAGATGATGAACACAAACATTGGTGGACACATCGCCAAAGATCATAATGTGTAAGCTAAGGCATCTTGTCCGTAACCGAAAAGGACAAGACAACTATGCCCGTACTCCCACATGGTTGCGCGTGCAGATATAAGGCCTCCATAGTCTCCTATTCCACCTCGCACGACTTGAACTTATTGCTTATGCCTCCAGCATGCCCATGAACTTATACTTCTCGTTTACCACCACTCGATAAAGACCCGCTGTCGGCTCGCCCTCTGTCCGAAGAAAATTAGCCTCGCTGATTCAGTGCTTTAGATTGCGTTCTCACCGGAAAACAAAAGAAATAGAGACGACTTACTGCCAGAGTAGACGTCACCAGAGGTAAGAGGGTACTCATGCAGGTTACTGGTTGAGACAAAGAGCTTCTCATGGTTTTCATACCGTTCCGGGTACTACAAGTACCCGTCCAGGTTTCTCGCCTTGGCTTCCTCTACGATCCGGGCTTGTTTTGTTGCACCATTGATCTCATCTCTATTGAACCTCTGACCACCGCAGTTGATTGGTCGAAGTTTGGCGCGGGGGACAAGGTCGCGTTCGGGTAGATCGAATATCCCCGCGTCCGCGTGCATTGGGGATTTTGCAATGGGGTAGCAAGCCACGCCGCTGAGAGCGAGGATGAGTACGAAAAGAGACTTGATGTTTACACGCATAGTGGTACAGGCCAGAGAAGTGCAGACACCGTCGGCAGGTATAGTTCGATGGAATGGCGAGGACTATCCAGGGCTAAGAATGTGATGTTTACTAGAAGTGCAGAAGTATCAGATTTATCAAAGGAAGAGATGTATACGCCAATAATTGCCCTTCCTAATAGCCTAAGAGAGCTTTTGTCCAAAGCCGCCTGCATCTAGAGCTTGACCTCCCCTAATGACAAAGGTCAGGGTCCATGATAGAACGTATGCTGCATACAAATTGCCTCATCTGCTCCACGCACCGAGCCGATGTTCGGAAAACGAGGAAGACACACCCACAAAGCCAGAATCAGAGCTGACAAAACCATAACAAATGGCTGAAGCAGTCTCACCCCATGAGCTTCCGCAACCACACCAACCAAGAACGGGAGAATAGATGAGCCCAAGCTACTAAATCCAGTCGCGACGCCGACAGCAGTTACGTGCATGTGCTCAGGAAGAAGCCTCACCGTGGCGTAGACAATGGCTGGGAAGAGGGGTCCCAGGAAGAACCCTTGCATCGCGGTGGCAACGGCCGCGACAACAACGTTGGGGACGAAATGTATGACGAGGCCACACGCGACCTCACTCAGGATATACAACTGTAACATCGTTAGCGTAAAAGGTGGTGCAGAGTCGGGAGAACCTACGATGATGGCAAGCCTTTCTCCGAGTCGGGGGGTAACGAAGCCCAGCGCTATCCTTCCGAGAGAGAGTCCGAGCCAGAACCAGGCGGCGGTTAGGCCACTCGCGAACGGGGCTTCGTGCTTGACATCGGCCATGAATGTGACTGCCCAGCCGGCGAGACCGAGTTCGATGCCCACGTAGAGAAAGAGGAAGACTGAGCAGATCCATGTGACTCGAGCGGATGGGTTCTGGGATAGTGTGTCTCGTAAATCGCTGTGTTGGATGATGGGTTCTGCTTTCCATGAATCTGCCGGAAGCTGTGTTGGAGTAGCAGCAGACATGTCCCAGAAAGCTGCCACTGAGGTTATCAGCTCGACTGCAGCACAGCCGATCTTGGATCGCGTTAGTGTTGTGCGTTGTCTATGCGGATGGAAAGCTCACCATGACATAGTAAAAATAGTACCATGGTAGACCACCTTGTGAGACCAGTGAAGTCAGCACAAGAGGTGTCATGACAGCGCCCAGCCCGAACGCAGCGTGCAGACATCCGAGGACCTGACTTGCATGCTTCATGCTGCTGGCCCACGAATTCCAGGCGGAATCTGTCAACCCGTTTCCGATCCCGGCCAATGCGAGGGTAATCACGAGAACGGGGTATGGCGGATAACAGCAATTGATGATGTAGGCGACGAGATGACACGCAGGAGCTATGACTGCTACCCCTCGCCGTCCCATGCACTGGTATATCTTGGTGTCCACAATTGCTGCCACGACGTATCCTATGAGTGGAGAAAGGAAGATGACTGAGACGGCGATATAAGAGAGTTCGTAATATGATCGAAGCTGGAAGATATGAGCACCAATTTCGGGGCAGGGACCAAGGAGCACATCCTTACTTCTGGAAGCAGTGGCTAAGGCTATATGTATCAGTATACCGGATGATCAATTAAAGCAGGATCCTAACGTGGCTTGGATGCGACGTACACCAGAAGCGGAATCATTTGCACCCATCACGAAAAAGCTCCAGCAACACGCCATGACTTTCCATATATTGGATTTGGGATGGTTCCAATTCTGCCCCCCGGTTGCTCTATGACGAGGTGCTTCTATGGTTTTCCAAGTAGGTCGTGCTATAGAAAGCCATTGGTGTGATGATACCTCTTCATCCCGGCTTGCGTCACTAACTGATCTAGCTGTTGCTTGTGGCTTGAGGTTGTCGACAGGCTGGTAGGAAGCAGAATCGATCATGGTGCTGCTGTCGGTCAACAGATTGCTAAGAGAATGTAGTCCCCCAAATTGAAGGGTGAAGAGAGCCAGCAGGCGTGACGCTCTGTAGGAAGGCATCCTAGATACTAATAGGACTATAGGAGTATGTGTACCCAAGGTGACTGTAAACCCCTGACTCCACTCAATATGCAAGGGTAGTTCGGTGAGTCAACCAAAACAGATAATTGACAGTGCATTGCGGCCGTCAACTCACTACCAACAAGGGGTCTTCTCTAAAGAGCAACACGACTTGGTGCATAGTGAGTCTCCTTTATTAGTATGTTGCGCTCAATGATGATCGGTCTTCAAGGTAGTGCTAACCGGGAAGTATCCAGGTCAAGTAGTTGTCACCCAACGCACTCAGCGACCTCAACCCTCGCTTTGTAATGCGGAAACAATTGACAGACGAGTCTCACAGAATCGCTCTGATGGCAAAACTCCATTTCACTGTCGCGATAGCCTCGGAAAGGTCATGATTTATCGGCGAACTCGGAGGCTCTCCATCCTGCGGCGCGTGTTTGCGCCCGTTTAGGAAAGTAAAGTTTCTGCCTTAGGGCTAGCGGGCCCATACTGACCCACTGCGATAGATTAGCATGGATTGAAGTAAGAATTCTATTCCTAAACGTACGAAATGCCGACTTGTGATGTCTTCCAGCTATTCATATTGATTCTTTTCCGGCCCGTTCTTGCACTTGCAGGCACTATCTTCAACTGTTAGACATTATCATGGCAGAGCAAACAGATGAGAAGCTCTCACACTGGCGGCGTCTCAACATCAGTTTGCGTCTAATGGCATTTTGAAAAGCAGGCTAAGACATCATATCGTCGTATTTGCATCACATAGATTGAGATGGGTCGAATTTCGAAGCGCGATGGGCTAATTTACCATGGCTGTCACAGTCGAGATTTGGTTCCAGATGTGATATCTCGAAGAAACTCCCCGATCCCGCCCTCGATCGTCCATGCCTCCCTTGCCAAATCCTGCTGGTTTACCGGCAACTGTTTAGTCCAGCTCATCAACCTTTCATACACATTTCCATCACGATATCCCAGCGCGCTACAAAGACTCGCATCCGTGAAGTCCCAGGCATCTGTCAAAGCGATGATATCTGGCAGCAGTGCCGCCAGAAGTTCGTCGATGCGCGCACGCATCTGTGGGAAGTGGTCGGCAGTCAAAATGCGGTCTTCGGCAAAGGAGATAGAGGTGAACGATGGGCCAGGGTTGGTGATGGTCGTCAGAGCGAATAACTCCGTGAGGCGTGAGAGAACGGGGAGTAAGCTCGGCTGCGCCTTCCCGATGACTGCCACGCGACGTTGCATAGAGTGCAGCACGAGATACTCTATGTACGAATGTGCAGCGGGGAGAAGTCGTGGGAGGGATGCATTCCATGCTTCAGCTGGAGACGACGTGCGGGTTTGCTGGGCGTAAAAAGAGTGTGCCGCAGAGAGGAGTCGATGGAAATGATGTTGGAAGATCTTCAGCAGTTTTTCTGGCTCTGAAAGGTGATTACTGTCAAGCAGGAGGTGTGAGGGTGAGGACTTATCTCCCTCAACCTGCAGCCATTGCTGGTATCCGGAGAGAGACTCAGTCATGTCCGAGTCCAGCATCCTTCCTGCTTGAAGAGCGCCAATCTGCTTGAACAGATAGCGCAGCGTCTGCTGCCACATAACATAGTTCTCGCCCTCAAAGGTCGCCGCTGCACACGCCGTTGCGACCATCTCCGGTAGCCCCGAGATTACGAGGTATCCATGCCCTCCACACATCTTGCGCGCCTCCTCCGCTCCTGCAGCAACAGCCTGTGTGGCCCAGGCTTTCAGTCCGGCGCTGACCGCATGGATAAATGATAAGCGGCCGATCTTTCCTTCTCTTTTCTCCTGCTGATGTTCTTCAAAGCAGTCATCAAGCTCCATTGAGGCAAACAGGATAGCATACGCCTGGGAGATAAGAGTCAATAACCGTTGATGCTGCGTCTTGTACTCGAGAATGGCAAGCTCCGGGACAGTAGGCTGAGAGAACATGAGAGCGCCCTGCTCACGCACCACTGCGTACCGCGTCGCGACGGTCAGCGGCTGCGCCAGCCCAAACGCTGCCCAGTGGATCACCACGCGCCGCACCTCCAGCATTGTCGCATAACTTTGTTTCGCCAAGTTCTCCTGGGCTCCTGCATCATTCCGCACATACGCTCCGTCCGGTAGCACCTGTGTATGCGCCGCCAGCAGACTACTTCCGGGGACGCGGAGGAGATTGAAGTGTGCATAGCCATTGCACGTACCGTTATACGCCATCTTCAGGCCCAGGTCTCCCAGCGTCACTCCCTTTATAGGTGTGGAGTCGGAGTTATCGCGGATCTGGACGACGAACCAATGCACGCCATGGTCCACTCCCCTAGTCACCAGTCTGGCTGCGGCCACTGCATGAGAGCAACTGAGCCCGAGACCCCCAGGCCAGAACTTCGTCGCGGTTACCGTCGGAGAATTGAGGACGAATTCTCCAGCGGCGGAGTCGAAGGTTGCGGTGGTCTCAATGCCACGGACATGGCTACCGTGTCCCAGCTCCGTCTGCGCGTAGCAGCCGTTGATCTCCATGCGATCGATCAAAGGCAGCCAGTACCGTTTCTGTTCGGCGGTGCCCTGTAGGTTGATCGTGCGGCGGAACATGAGGAAGTTCAGGCCAAAGGGTGTGGCGTTGGTGAGTTGGCTGCGCTCGGTCAGGTTGACGAAATGGGTGTGGTTGTGTTGTAACATGTCGGTGACGATGGCGCGGCCGCGGCGCAGGCCTTCCAGGTATAGCTCCCTCCGGTCGAGGCCGGTGTGGAGGTGGGGGAGCTGCATGGTGTCGGTTATGCCTAGGGCTGTCTCGACGCGAGCGAAGGCTGCGCGACGGGAGGAGGCGTTCTCCTCTCTGTTCAAATAATGCATTGGTTTAGGAGGCGCGTTTCGCGGGAAATTGTTCGGAGGCCTGTATGCCAACTTACCCGTCATGGATGATGTGCGTCAAGAGCGTAGAATCGAAAGTGGCGACTTGACGAGCCTGCTCCATCAGGACCATCTGCCGAGTCAGAGACATCCTGTGCTTAGAGCTGAGTATACTGAACTCTTATCCGTCGGATTCATACAAGTCAAGTGACATATGGCATGATGCAGGCATATATCAGCAGCACCTGCGCTGCAAATCAGACGTTGAGCGCAGAGATTGTGGCTTGTGGTGGGATCGAGCCGAGGCAGTATTCAATGCGGATTGTTCCAAAGCAGCCTAGCTGGAATGTAGATGATCCTTCTCCAGCAATCAGAGCACAAAGTCGGGCATTCTGGAAAACGCCAAGACGCGGCAATGGTTCGCGGTCGGCCTGATCTAGCCTGATCCAGCTAGGCTGGACACAGACTATTCACTGCCAAGATCTTGGTTCCATGGCGCTGGGCCCACAGGCGGATCTGGTTTATCCATCACTTCCGGGCCAGATTGTCGGATTGAAGCAAACTTCCTTCAAAAACAATGCATTCTACCCTGATAAGATAAGATTGCAAGGGAAAAGACGTGGAATCACAGGCGACGAAACAACTTAGGTGGGTAGCCTTCTTCTCAGGAGTCGAACCAGATGTAACTGGGTTAGGAAAAATATACCAAGCCCTCTATCTAGCCTGTGCTTGGTGCTGTACATATTCTTTCCTGTTTTGTCACACAGATTGTTCGATTCGTCATCTGAGATGCAAGGTCTTGACAGCTTGATCCACGTGGTCGGCATGTGTACATGAAATATGTAGAAGATATCATTCATCGTGAGGCTTGTCCACGGGCTTCTTTCGCAGCTTAAGCCCCTTCATCAACCACGGGTCCATCAAAAGCTCCAGCGCCGTTGGGCGATCTGCAGGGTTCCATTGCAAGGCTCGCCGCAACCACCCCAAAAACCCTTCGACATCCTCATCTTGAATGTTGACGGCCAAGTTCTCGAACGTTCGGTCGGGAATTGGAACCAAGTTCTTCCAGTTACCGGACTCATCCCAGAACACCCAGCTCATGTCCATCTTCTTCAGGAACTCCGGCGGCGGAGGCCCAAGCAATGCAACAAGTTCTGCGATATGAGCCCCGTCGTCAAATATGCCATCTATGACTTTACCCTCAATGATGGTGTTCGGGCTGACTAGATCCCATGCCTTCCAAGCTCTGTCAGTGTTCATCCGAGACAAAGGAGGTGTTAGTAAAGTGACTTACCACCATGCCAACACTCCAGATATCAACTTTGTAATCCCAGTTCGATTTGAGCATGACTTCAGGGGCGCGATAGTAGTCAGGCATGATACTCTCGGAATGATCCTCGTCACCAAAGCGGGCCTCTCCTGGATCACTAAGAAGAGGGAGACCGTCTCCCGCAGGGAGGTGGGAGGTTGTGTATATCGTTCGGTCTTCAAGGATCTTCCTGGGTGCGGGTCTCTGTAATTCTTGCTCCTCAAAGGCAGAAAGCGCGGCAGGAGACGGTGCCGGAAGAAGAAGATTGTTCAGCTGGATATCTTGGTCAAGGTGAGCTTCGTACGGTACTCTGTGTTCATACCAGTATGAATGAGACCGACCACAGAATGTAGAAAATCCATGGCACCGAGAAGTTAACGGATGACAGACTTGATACTTTCGAGCGTCACTCGTCGGTCATTCCTAAGCCTCAGAAATTCGGACGTATTGATGCCCAAAGGCTGATGAACCAGACAAAGATGGCGAAATCCACATTTGTCAACATAGAAATGATCAAATAATTTGCGAACGAACTTTTTGCCGGGATGGTCTGTTTCAATAGAGTCCATATGCGTATAGACGTTCAATTCATGCTCCCTTCCTTGACCGGAAACATAGATCTTTAGGACGACATATGTTGACTCGCTAGTTTCTCAGCACTGAGGGCCATATTAGACCAAGAGATACTTTGCATGACTTACCATAGATCACGGGCGAGCCAGTTAGCTGTAGAGTATTAGTCCTTTCTTAACCCGCACTTAGAAGAGAGATTCGATCTCGCTTCCAATCGACCCATAATCGGCGAAGGTTCCTCCGAAGGAATGATGAACCATGTTTTAAAGGAATTGGAAGAAGGGGTGCAGCATAGACTGGGAGAGATGGGTGTTTGTCTGTGTTGACAGTACTTATAACACTCTGTGGGCAGCTCACGTGGCTGCGGACCGATATGGCAGACTTCTGTAGATTTTGCTTTTCTTTCTTGGAGCAATAAAGGCAAGAATCACCCAATGACAAACCGGTTCTGCTAAGATAGGGTCACGGTGTCACGTGACATAGAAGGACTCCGTACCTGCGTCCATGTCCATTGACCAATCTACATACTTATGCATCAAGAGTTCACAGGCAGTATAGCAAGCAGATCTTGTGGGGAGCATTTACCACGAAGGTGGTCAAAATCCAACAAAGAACAGGTACAGGATTGCTCAAACCTGACAAGAAGTATCCACCGAGATCAAGGCGCGTCCCTACCAGCAATGGAAAAAGCTCGCCTCCTGAACAAACAAGTATTTTCATTATTCAAAGTCACATTAACATTCTTTGAAGTGAGAATACTTATCTCGTAGCATAGATAATAAATGCTTACCGCACAGCCAATAAATAAAGGCATTGTCTCAGGCATCCTTTCGAGGATACCGACCCTCTCCAGCAACGGCATTGTCTGGCGTTTGGACCCGGGCACTTTCCTCCTTGAAGGCACTTTTATCAGACTATAAATCGCAGCGTGAAGCGTCGGCTCTGTGCAAGTACTCATCGGCTCCGTAAACCTTCGTCGCATACTCTAGTTTATTATTCAAGCGTGTTTGCGCTCTCGTCCCATCGCATAGACACCTTTCGAGTCAAGCATAGAAACAGACATCGAGCTCGAGACGAGACCAACATGGCAAGCAATCCTGACAACACTATGCCTAGCACGAGCAAAAAGCGGGGACTCATCTGTGACGAGGAGCGTGCTCGCGCGGCCAAAAGACCTCGGGCGGACTCCAAGAAGCCGCCACCTATAACGCTCCATCGCTCCGCTCGCCATGTTGCGGCGCCTGCGAGCGCACCATTACTTTGCACTCGGCCGTCCTTCGCCCTCTCGGAGTATGGAATCCCGGCTTTACCTCAGTTGTACTACAAAGAGGGGGTGGCTGCGCCGAGCCTCATCCAACCCCAATGGGCCGTGCGAGCCCTGGTCCACTATCATCGAGTCCCAGCTCGTCGACACAGCCTCGGCGAGCCCGGACAAGTGAATGTGCCTGTTCGTGTCCATGTCCTCAGGCTGCAGCCCATCGTACTCTGCAGCGTGCAGCAAACCATCCCCAAAGCTGCGGTTCTGCACCCCATCACGAACCCTAACCATCCTCCCAGAACTATCCCTGCGACCGACCCCACCCTCCTCGAGCCCCTTCGCACCCAGATCCCGAAGGAGATCCTCCCGCTCGCAGCCCGGCTGTACGAACTCCTGTACCCTAGCAAATGCCCCGCCACCGACCCACTGACCTGCGAGTGCCTCCTGGCGCAGGTGCAGGGCTGGTCGTCATCCGCCGCCACTGACATCCGGCAATACCGCCTCACCTCCGAACCCAGCGCCCTTACGACCATGACCAACTTCCACTCCCGAATCATGCACTTTGTCGAAGACTACCTGACCCAAAACTGGTCCACCTTCGCCCAACGCTTCCCCTCCCTGACCCCCAGGCCCCCCTCCCGCGCGGAATACCTCCGCGTCATCCGAACCTTCTACCTGCACGAAATCTGCACCAGGGAAATGGCCCTCACGCGCCGCAGGATCCCGACCCGCGGGCCCGCGCGCGGGTTCGTGATGGAGGAGTACAAGGCCACCCTGGACGCTTCCTGGCGTAAGCAGGTCACGCAGCTGGCGGCCTGGGAAGCGGAGCAGCTGTTCTGCGTGGCCACGTACTTGCGTGGGGTGTTCGACTCGCTCCTCGACCGCGAGCTGCATCGCGTGCGGCTGCATCGGCTCGAGGACGGGATGCGGCCGCTTCCGCCTGATGACCGCGAGTTTCACGGCATGCCGCTGCTGTACCGCGCCTGGGTGGAACGGGATCCCGTGCTGAGGCAAAGGATGCTGCAGGCGGCGGATCGCGGGTACCTCTGGCTGATTACGAGTCAGAATCTGGGGAATTTCCTGCGGACGCTGGGCGGGCATCGGAGCGCGGTGCGCTGGACCGGGAGTCTGTTTCGCGATGATGCCTCCGGGGCGCCGGCGGCGTGGCGCTGGGCGCTGGGGAAGGGCGAGTGGACGGTGCTGGTGGGGCGGAGGCGCACGGCTGAGGCCAGAGGATGGGGGTATGTGTTTCTGGATCGGGAGCGGTTGGCGAGGCATGGGGTCTTGACGGGGCCCCTTGTGCGGAGGGAAGGGATTAGTGATGAGTGAGGTGGTGGTGTTTCTTACATTACTGCGATGGCAGCCGAAATATACATCTTTCAAACAATTGTTTCTTTTTCTTCATGAATTTGTGCATCGCTCATGTAATATGTCGTAACCGTAACCGCAATGTAGTCTATACACGACCTCAACCTCATACCCTGACACCCCCTACAACCCCCCTTTACATCCCCCGAATCTACAAAACTGTCCCCCTCACCTGCCTGACTCCCCTCAACCGAATATCCCTCCACATCGTCACCCCAAAAACAGCCGCCGGCAACACCGCCAGCCCAACAATCAGCATCCTCTTCTGCGCCACCCCGTACGCCCTAACGGTAGCCTCCCGCTCCTCCGTCCCCGGCGCAAACTCCAAGACCCGCGCAATAGACCCATACAACTCCGCCGCCAGATACTTCTTCTCGTCGGGCAGGTACTTCTCGATGTAGACAGGGACAGTGCTCGTCCAGATCGCGCCGGAGATGGCCGCCCCAACCGCGGACCCGATCTTCGACCCCAGCCCAACTAATGCAAACGACACGGCGATCGTCTCGTGGTTGCCCGTCGCCAGCCCCGCGATCTCCTGGCAGATGACCAGCGTGCCGCCCGCGACGGCCTTGAGGATCTCGCAGGCGATCACGGCGGTGATGTGGCTCGTCGGCGAGCGGAAGGGGATCATCAGGGCGGTGCCCAGGATGAAGAGCGGGAGGGCGGTTAGGGCGGGGGTTTTGAAGCGGTTGATTTTGCGGATCAGTCTGGTTTCGTTAGCAAACATCTCATGACGAGGGGAGGTGGGGTTGGGGAATCAGAGTTGAAGGGCACGTACATCCCCACAGGGATCGAGATGATGCAGCTACCGATGCTGTAGATGTTGTAGATGTACCCCGTGTCGCGGATGCTGGTGTTGAAGACGACTTGCAGGTACGAGGAGAAGTAGAGGTCCCAGCAGCTGTACCGGTGATTAGTACATCCAAGAGGTACAGGGAGAACTGGGGGAAATAAGGCGTACTAGAAGCTCATGAACATCGCGCAGGCGAGGAGAAACGCGCCCAGAAGCGTCGGGTCCCGCAGCCGGCTGTACGGGACGAAGCACACCGGGGCCCCCGAGCGCTCCCAGAACAGAAACCCGATCACGCTCAGAACCCCCAGAACGATCATCGCGATGATGTCCGGCGCCATCCACCGGTCGAGCAGTGAGGTGCTCCACATGTTGGTTCCGGAGGTGGCGAGGGTCAACGGCAGCAGGATCAGGACGAAGCCGGCGGTGATGAGCAGCATTCCGATGGCTGTGCTCGTTAGTACTGTGCTGTGCATTATCCTCAGAGGCATAACGTACGGTCGAATTCCACGACATAATGAATAATCGTCTCCATCCGCGTCCGGTCTTGCGGCTTCCGCTTGATGACGCCCGCCGATCGGGCCTTCTTGCGCGTGCTCCAGAGGAGGAGTAGGAGAGGTGCGGTGACGAGAGGCGTGAGGACGGCGAAGATGCCGAATCCGGTGTACAGGGCGTCGCGTTCGTAGAGGAACTGCGCAGCTGCGGGGCCGATGAAGGTGGTGATCACGTAGGGAAACGAGGCGATGCCGTAGACGAAGGCCCGGTTGACGAGTTCGGTGGTGTCGGACATGAAGACGTGCAGGACGTAGTCCATGCCGTTGTAGCCGACCCAGTAGATGATCTGGACTTGGGTCAGGATGGTCCTACGGAAGGGATGGGGGGTGAATGAATCTACCTGTGCAGCAACATAGGTTTCGACATTACGACAGGCAGCCATCAGGACCAGTCCTGGTGATGGTCAGTATACAGCAACCTCCGTTGTGATCAAGCACCTACCCAGGGTGCACAAAGCGACCATAGCTGCAAAGCCCTCGGGCCGGCCCAGAATGTCGATCAACTTGGCGATCGGCAGTTTCGACACCCCGCCGATGATGCTCGTCAAGACGTTGGTCATGGCGATGAGCGAGTGGTCGGTGAACTCGGAATAGACATAGGGACTCAGACTGCTGGTCGTTTGCTGCTGCAGAGAGTTGACAAAAAAGATGATGAAGACCCTACAGAGTTAGAGGGGAGTCAATGAGGGCTGCGGGGAACATACAGTGCGTAACCCGTATACAGGGTCCGGGTGGACCAGACCGAAGCCAGGGCCTCGATCTCCGCGACTCCATGAGAGGTATGCTCGGGGGAGGACAAATCCGGGCCATCAGGGATGGGCTCGTAGCCATCGTCTCGTGGCGCGGGGACATCTGCAGGATGCGTGCGGCGGATGTCTTTGAGAATCTCCCTGGCTTCGTGGTACTTGCTCCGCAAGAACCCGAGCATGGTGGGAGACTGTTGCTGCAGGTTGTTTTGAAGCGTGCAGACCGTTCCACGGAACCAGAAATTCACTGTGAAAGATTCAGGGGAGGCGATGAAAAACAGCTGCAGCGGCCAGCGCTTGATGCGACTACATGAGAACAATCGAGATCGATAGGAATGTGCACGAGGGGGGTGGCATGAGATATAGGCTAGGCAGGGTAGACTGGAGGGATTGCTGACCGCTTGTATTGCGGAAGAGAGAAAGCTGAGGATTAAACTGGAACTGAAGCAGAGACTGCTTTCAGGTTAGGTGAGGCAGCCAATCACACGCATGACTCAATCCCTCCGCGGTGGATCCCGGCATTAGTCGCCTCCAACCAGGCGGTCATTGGCGGGAGAACCGAAAAACAAAAGGCAAGATTATCAGATGAGAATCCCATCTGATAAGATCGGGTCGCGTTATTCGGATCCCTCGGCATCATTGATGAATTGACAGTTACCCCGCCCGAGCACGGTTTTACTTCTTTTACCTGTCTTTCTCTATTGTAGCTGTAGTAATCTTCCACAGTCTTATCATCGAAGCCACATCATCCGTCTCCTCCGACCGTAGGAGAACACTGAAGCTACCATGCAGTAGTGCTCATCAGCCTGTGGAAACCCCCTCGATGTGCTGCGGCAAATACGGTGCAGTGACATGAACAAACTCTACCAGCTTTCATTTTCTAATGCAAGAGCCACGAGACTAACATCCATCCACATATTTCATACAGCGAATCCTCCACACCGCTATCATCCCCACAGCTGCACTCAGCAACTCTGCCCCCCACAGCATTTCGCATCCTGCACAACCTCCAACCGACAAAAGCACGACGCCCGAATCGGGATATCCGCCCCGGCTAACGCGACATTCCTCGCCGGCTCGATCGCCTTCGCCTCTTCCGTCTTGCCCAACCGCACCAAGCACTCATGATACCCATGCAACGCCCAGACGTTGTTGGGATGCCTCCGCGGGCGGATTAGCGACTCATCGAGCCCCAGATCGGCGCGGTACGTGCGGGCCGCCTCCTCGACCTCGTCCTGCTCCAGCTTGAGGGCGGCGTACGCGTGGCGCACGGGCTGCATCCACGCCCACGGCTCGCTGTAAGGCAGCCTATCCTCGAGCTCGATCGCCTCCTGCAGCGCCGCGAAGGCCACTTCGTAGTTGCCCGCGCGGTACTCGATCTCTCCCGTCAGCATGGGGATGCCTACGGCCAGCATGTCGAGGGCTTTGCTGTTGTACGCCCGGCGGGTGGGGGGTACCCTTTCACGGGCGGCGAGGAAGAGGGCTTGTTCGCTCCGGGCGGAGGGGATATCGTTGGTGGCGGCGTGGGCGAGCGCGCGGGCATAGTGTGTGGTGGCGGTGGTGATGGCGTAGAGGGTTTGGTCTTCGGGCAGTGGCATCTGCTTGAGTGCCTCCCACATGCCGAACCGCACCATTACGTGCAGCCGGATGGCGACAAAGTGCTCGATCCAGTCGGCCATCGGCGGGGATTGCGTGCAGAGGAGGGACTCCGGGATGCTGGCTTCCATCCGGGTGACGGCGTCCAAGGCGGTGCGCTTCTGGCCCGCGAACATGGCGGCGTAGACCAGAGAGTGGTAGTCGTGCAGTCGATAGAAGGTGTAGAAGTTGTTGTGGCCGGCTTTCGCGGCGTAGCGGTCGTCGGCTAGCGTGGAGCGGTAGTTAGACCGGATCGAGGCGCGCCAGTCTCCGATCAGGATGTCCAGGTGCGTGGGCATGTGGTGCATGTGTCCAGCGTCGGGGACCAGATCGCGCAGATGGTCTGCAGCGTAGATGCCTTTCTCGGGGGTGGGAGACATCTCGATGAAGTGGATGTATAGGTGCAGAAGGCCCGGGTGGCGGTAGGCCCCTGTCTGTGTGAGGGCAGTTTCGAGCACAGTCTGAACTTCCGTAGTTCGGGCCTTTGGGTTGGCCTTGCCAGTGAAAAGGTCCCAGAGGGCCCAGGGGGTGACATTCATGAGGGCGTCGGCGTAGAGGGTGGCGATGTCGAGGTCGGCGCCGAATTGTTCGTACACCGGCTTCATCGCGTCGGCGTAGGCGCAGTTGACGGTGCCGTAGTCTTCTGGGCTCAAGGGAGTGTCGCGAGGAAACCGCTCAACAATTGCCTTGCAGAGGCCCTGCTCGAGGGGAGTGGCGTTGCTGGACAGCTCCAGGGCCTTTTGGGATGCTTCGTGGCCGCGCTGGACGCAGATGTGCAGGTCTTTCCGATCGAAGCGTTCCCATGCCTTGTTGTAGTTGGGTCCGACAGCGTAGGCAAGACCCCAATAGCCCATGGCAAAAGACGGATCATGCTGGATGGCTTGTTCGAAGCAGTGGACAGCTTCACCGTGGTGGAAAGAGTAGACCCAGACGAGACCGCGGTTGAACCAGACACGCGCATCTTCGCTGGCGGTGGTAACGGTGCGCGCATGAGTGCCCAGGTCGAAATAGTCGACGCTCGCAGGAATAGCTTCGCGCGTCATGATGCAGATTGGTGAGATGCAAGACTGATATGATATTGGTGATGGTGAGGCCTGTAGAGGAGGACGATGCATTAAATAGCAGCAAACCCCCCCACTCGGTTCTGGTAAGGCGCGACGATAAGGCGGGGCGATCAGAATGTCAAAGACCGACCAGACGCCGAACACGTCGAGTCGTACGATTCACCTCTCAGCCTTGATGTCATTTTAACAAGATCCTATAGGTAGACTCACATCTGACTCGATTGATTAGGCTTTAATTAAGCATAATTAAGCATAAAATATCTCAAGTCAGCATTCATGCATGGTCTTGCAAAGGAATCTTGACTCGGCGATTGATTTCAATGCCAAGACCCAGGAGCAAAGGATCAAAGGCCGAGCGCAATCCGCCCCCCCCCGATTGGCCAATTCCCTCTGTCTTTTCTTATCGGTCGCCGTTCAGATGATTCCATTCCATGTCTGGATTTTCCGAGTACTTCCCCGCGCTGATTACTTAGTTACCACTCCCACTCCCACTGACATTTTGTGTCACTGTCAGCTAAGAATACAGTAATCCTCTTCACCTACACTTACTCTCACCGCGACTCTCTCCATCCTCATCCTACCTACTACAGGCTTCACACAAATGACCAGCCCAACAACCCGACAATGGCTCGCATCCCTCCTCGAGCCCGGCCAAATCCTGTCCATGGCCGTAAAAAGTACGCCTGCGCCGTCGCCTGGTTGATAAACCTTACTAACCTGATGACACTAGGCTACCTGATGGTATGCCTGGAGGCCATACTGGAAGGCCGCATCCTCGCCCCTCTCCTTGAAACCCAGCGCCTGCGTGACGAAGCCTTCGGGCGCTTCTGGGTTGCGTTTAGCGGTACTCTTCCCTCATTCCCTACATTCCTCATGTATACAATATTAAGCATAAGGATAGCACCACCCCAATCCACCCAACCCACCACCAATGAAGAGCAAGGGCAGCAGCAGCAGCAACAACAACAACAACAACAACAACAACAACAACAACAACAACAACAACAACAACCAACCCAAGACCAACCAGCAGAGCCAACAGAAATCCAAGGCTCCGCCGACCTCATCCCGCCCCTCCTCGCCACAGCGCGCGGCATCACCCTTGACCTCGGCCCCGGCACGGGCACGCAGATGCCCCACCTCCGGTCGCCGGCCATCACCGCCCTCTACGGGGTCGAACCCTGCCATCATCTGCACGCGACGCTACGCGCCCGCGCCGAGGCGGAAGGCGTCAGCGAGAAGTATACGATTCTCGGGTGTAGTGCTGCGCCGGATCAGCTAGTGCCGGTGTTGCAGGAGCGGGGTTTGGTCGCAGTGGTCGATACCATCCTCTGCGTGCGGGTGCTGTGCTCGGTGCCGGATTTGGCGGGCACCGTGCGCGGGCTGTATTCGCTGCTGAAGCCGGGTGGGAGGGTGATTGTTGTGGAGCATGTGGTTAATGCGGGACTTCAAGGGTTCTTGGGTGGGAAACGGGAGGGGAAAGAGGAACGGACGGGGTCCGTCGTGGCTAGGGTCGCGCAGGGGTGGTATGAGTGGCTGGGATGGCGGTGGTTTGTGGGGGATTGTTGTTTGACGAGGGATACGGAGGGGGCGCTGAGGGGTGCTGCCGCGGAGGATGGCGGGTGGGAGAGGGTCGAGCTGCGAAGGTATTTTGGGGAGGGGGTCATGCCGTATGTTGCTGGAGTTTTGGTCAAGAAGGGGAGAACAGAGGGGGAGAAAGAGGGGACAGTTGATGAGGGATTGCGGAGGAGGTGAACAAATTCTAATAGCAAGGTGCAGGTTCATATCCGCTTTATAATTGAGTGCACTTGTCAGGTTGAGTTGAATTAGGGTTGGCTCCTGATGGTAATGTGGTCTATGGCAGAGCATGACATTATCACCCAGAAGGATTAGAATAATATACCACGGCTTACTAAAACTTCGCTGGAAAATCTACAGTGCATGAATTTGGTATATAAATGTGCACAAGGGGCGAGCATCAAACGTAAATCGCATTTCACATCCAGCCAGCTGCTCTCAGACACCACCCCTCAAAGCCCAGCAACTATACATATCACCTCGAGAGCAACCCCTCCCACCACACCTACTCACTCGGCTCACTGAACACGGTGCTAAACGCCGCCGGCGTCTCGAACACAGGCTTGCCCCCACTCACACCCAACGGCTGCACCATCGTATACCGCGTATCATCGCATGCTCCGGCACTGCTATTCGACGCGTGGTACGCAATCCACGTCTCCGTGGCATCGGGGCTCTGGAAGAAGCTGTTGTGGCCGGTACCGTAGTTGCCGTTGGCCGAGGACAGCGCGCAGCTATCACCCTTGGTCCAGGCGCTGCGGGAGGTGGGGTCGGTCGTGCCGTCCCAGGTCAGCAGGGCGACGCAGTAGTACGGGGTCCAGCAGTACGAGGCCGAGTAGGCGAGGTAGGTGGTGCCGGAGATGTAGAGGGCGGCGGGCCCCTCGTTGACGGGGGTGCCGTGGGTCTCGAAGCTCTCGGTCGGCTCAGAGATGACGCTGATGCTGCCGGTAAGGCTGACGTAGTCGTCGCCTAGTTTCTGGATGCAGAGCGACTGGTAGGTCACGCCGTGGAAGCAGGAGAAGACTAGGTAGTTGCCATAGGCGTTGGTGCGGAGGACGGTCGCGTCTATGGACCATTCGGTCGTCAGCTGGCCGGTGTAGGTGTATTCGTCCCACGGAGTGGAGCCGCCTGATATCACCGTTAGTTGGAGTTTCAAGGGAGGGGTGGTAGGCTGCTTACCCGTGAGGACGTGGAGACGCTGGCCGTCCAGGTCGGTCGTCTCCCCGGCGGTGTAGTAGATGTACCACTTGCCACCCAGGTAGTGGACCTCCGGCGCCCAGACGTTGCAGCAGCGGCCGGCAGTGGAGGTGGAGTAGACGACCTTCTTTTCGGCGGTCTTGAGGCCGTCGATGGTGGTGGCCCGGCTGATCTCGAGATCCGTCCAGGTGGTGGTCATCAGATAGTAGTATCCCCCGGTGTACACCAGGAAGGGGTCGGAGCCCCCGGGGTTACGAATCGGGTTCGTAAAGGCCCCAGCTGTGGGCAGGAGGGCCCACAACCCAAGCAGGGCTGTCAACAGGCGGGTGATAATCGAGTGAAGCTGCATTGTGGTGGGTTGTAGTCTGCAGCTATGATTTCCTTTTGATTGTTCATGCCCATTGCAACTGGTTATATAGACAGGCATTGTGGTTGCCAAGCTTCGCCCCCACGGGGAGTCATTCGCGATGATCTCCATGGTCGATATCTCCCACCGGAGAGATACCCTTCGTAGTATAATTTTGATTTATTCACGGCAATGCCGAGGCTTGGCAAAGGGTAATTCCACCACTCCCGCTGCCATGCCCAGCCTGCTGGTAACCACGTTGGATTAAGCGCGGGGATGTTTACATATGCCTTGGGGCTGAGTTCTACTGGGAAGCTGAAAAGAAAGGGGGGTCCGGGGGTTCTCCCCCGGAAACGTTTATACTGTAGAACTTAGGGTTGAGTTCTATAAGCAAGCATATAGATCTGGTGTACCAAGTACAGTCCCTACTGTACACTTCAAAGGACAAAAAGAAACAGAGTCCATTCCGAACTGATGCCAATCCAACCATATCGATCCAGGCAAGAATTGTTCAATCACACTCTGACCATCCTCAGATAATTATTCTAGTCCGATATACGTGGATGGGTGTGGCCTCTTCCCAATTGGATGTTGATGTTAAGATATATAAATGAGTTGATAGATGTCAACGTCTTCTAGGGTTAAGCATGACATGGCCGTTGCGCCTGCATTTATAAATAGCGACCCGCAAAAGAGCACATTCACACAAAGAAGGCACCTGAGAGTAATCCATGATCTAAGCAACCATTGCCTTTACACTAATGTCGATCCGTCAGTACAATTAAACAATATTTGATCAACATAGACACTTCAAATTGCAATGGTAAATAACAAACAAGGATCATGTGTAGCACAGCTGCACAAAGTAAAGTCTCAGCCTAGAGCCTTGAAGCTTCGAAGAAATTACCCAGAAGAGCCACACCGCAAAGCCGACCGGAGCCGGATCGGACCCTTTTACTCGACGCTAGGCCGGATCTAGCACGCATCGTCCGGTCCAATCTGGTTCAATCTGGTTCAATCTGGTTCCATGGAAACGCTGAGCCACGCCGATCTTTACGCTTCTGATGACAGCGGCTGCAAAAATGACAAACCAGTCGACGCTCCACCGCCCACCGGCTAACTGATTCTGTGCTAGGCGGCACTGGCCCTCCAATAGCGCCACTCTACGGATACTATGGCCACGCACAAGTGTTTTATGCATGTTTCATGCATTTATTCAGGAGTACAGAGCAAATGAGTTCGAAAGTTGAAGCTTTAGACCATCTCATTATTCACACTATCGACATGTCCTGAACTCATTAACAAACATTACGTCTATTCGGTATTACACATATTCTATGCGCGCTGCGAAAGAGTGACCTGCGCCTGCACTCGGGGAGTGGGGGGAATACTGGCGACCGAAAACAGCATCTAACAACACAATCCATCTCCGTCTATACTTGAGCCTCCGTTTCGGGAATGCTCACTGAAAAGCAGCAAAGCAGGTGCTGTTGGCCTGGCTCTCCTGCCAGCCAATGCACTTCCAGCAGCTCAACAGCCCCGAGGGGTCGTACTTGTGCTTGATGGCCAGCAGCTTGTCGTAGTTCTCGGTACCCCACCAGGCCTCGCGCCAGTCCTCGGTGAACGGGTTGGCCTCGTTGCTGTAGGCCCCGCTGCCCGGGGTGATGCGTTCCAGGGTGGCCGTCATGTTCTGCAGGGTGGCGATCTTGGCCTCCCGGGTTGCGAGGGTGCTGTTCCACGCCCAGGCGCTGCCGGAGCCCAGCTCCCACACGGCCTGGCGCCAGGCCGGGGTTGCACTGGTCGATCCCTCGGTGTAGTTGTACAGAACCGGACCGACCACGGGGATGTAGGGGGTCTGGCCGTTCTGCTGGATCAGCTTGAAGAAGTCCATCAGGTTCTCGCGACCCTCGGCCGTCTCGAACACGGCGCGCGGCACCAGACGGCTGCCGGCGAAATGGGTGACGCCCACGCTAACGGCCTCCGAGGTCACGTACTTCGAGTAGAAGTCGTACCACGAAGCGAAGTGCTCAACCACGGCGGAACCACCCTGGGCCTTGGCGTAGGCGATGACCGAGGCGAGGGACCGCTTGGCCTGCGCGACAGTCATCAGGGGAGAGACGTTGATCAAGGTGCTGCCGGTGATGTGGCCACCCCAACCTTCCTCAGCCCAGCGCAGGGTGTTGTTAACGATGATGTCCATCCAGGGGAGCACGTTGGTGGAGTTGCTGGTGAATTTGACAATGGCCGCCGTAAACCCGAAGCGCGGCTCCACGCGGTGGGTGCTCTCGAGCACCACACCGAACGTACCACCGCCACCACCGCGGAGAGCCCAGAAGAGGTCCTGGTTCTGGCACTCGTTGGCGATGCGCAGGTTGCCGTCGGGGGTCACGACCTTGTACTGCACGACGCGGTCGACACCCAGACCGTAAACGGGGGAGAGCACGGAGTGGCCGCCCATCTGCACCCAGCCGCCGGACAGGCCGACCGTGGGGGAGTAGCCGCCCAGGATGGTGACGTTGTGGTCATGGGCGAAGGCGTAGGCCTCGTCGAAGTTGACACCGGCACCGGCAGTGATGGCGTTGTAGGTGGTGGTGGAGTTGGCGGGGCAGCCCTTGGGGACGAAGCTCGCGTGGTAGCTCATGTCCTGCAGGTTACGGGTCCACAGCTGCAGAGTGCCCTTGCCACTGCTACGGCCCAGGTAGTCGTGGCCGCTGTTCTTGATGACCACGCGCACCCCGGAGCAGCGCGAGTACTCGAGGGCGGCGCTCACGTCGGTGGCATCGTGAACCTCGAGGTAGTAGGAGGGCATGTTGCCCTGGCGGCAGTCGGTGCCATTGAAGGCCAGCGGGTCGGTGGGATCGCTGCTGTCCAGCACGCACTGATCCTGAGGGTTGGACGAGCACATCTCATCCTGGTAGTTCATGTACCCATTGGGGGTGTTGGTGCGCAGGTAGGGGTCGCTGTAGTTGGCCTGGATGGTGGCACAGGCGGCATCGTTGGGGGTGACGGGGTGGCCATTGTAGCTGGAGAAACAGGGGAGGGAGAAGGGCGTGAGAGGCTGGACACGACCTCCGACTGTCGTGTTCAGCGCACTCAGGCTGCAGTTGCTGCAGCTCGCAGAGGCCAGGCCCAAGAATTGGACCGCCAATGCGGCATACGACATCTTGTTCCCCGAAGACGCCATCTTTTTTTTTTTTGTTCTCTGCCACGCGAGAATGAGACAATCGAGAATGGAGATGGGGAATGGCTTGGGTTGAGGAAGAAAAAAATTGGGCAATCCCCCCGACGATCCCGCGTCAATTTATTTCTCAGAAAGGGACCAACTGCAATGGAAGAAATCCAAGGCAAAAATGAAAGTCGGGTAGCGGCACGTTCCGCACGAGGTCTGGCTGGTCAGTGTCTCTCTCGATCGCGTAGGATGGCGCAGGCTATTGAATTGCACGACTCAAGAAGTGGAGGAATACTGGGGACTGGGAGGGATGCGATAGAATTCGACCTCCGACTGTGTTCGAGGCTAGGCTACTGACTACTGCCGTTACTGAGGGAGCAAGAGGCCGTGAGAAGAGAGAAACAGGGAGGCACCACCACCCAGGACGATGACCCACAGTGACCTCCACCGACTTCTAGCCTTGCC